TTTCGTCACAATTAGAGGCCCCATAAGGACTTTCGTCACAAAAACGTAGTGCCATTCTTTAAACTTATMGATTTTTAAATAGTCTTGAACGGCTCAAAATGCTTGCTTGTAAATTGCTTGTTTTAGATAGAAGCACACCCTCGTTCACGTTCATTATGAAATGTTCTCTTGTAACAACAGCTCTTGGAAAGMAAGACTTCCACTTATCACTGTTCAGGTTTTTAACCGTTTTTACCTATTTACAAGGGTTGACAAATTTCGACAAAGKTATTTGGTACATAGATCTAACATATTTTATGCAGTGGCTATACACCCTTTTAATAAGTCCCGAGGTATTGAATTCTCCGCACATGACGTCAAATTTATTCTTTTGAATTTTTTGCAATACAAAAGGAATTGAAAAGAATGAATTTGACGTCAAATGCGGAGAACACAATACCTTGGGACTTATTAAAAGGGTGTATAGCTATCGCCAACTTGGGGCGCATCCAGGCCTTTTTTAAAGGGGGGGGGAGGGCCACTAAAATGGCGCGAATTTTTTTGGGGGGGAGGCTTTATTGTAAAAAAAGTAAGCTATAGTGTTAACACAGTACCACCATAAAAACCCTCGAACCGACTCTCGTCTCAGTTAGCGACCACCTTTAGCGACCACCTGCTTTCGTCGAAGGATATTTATCAGTCAAAAAGTTATCTGCCCTACGTACTCTTATATTTAGTCGAATAGTACAACGTCCCTCCGTACTGATTCGTACTGTAGAGACGGAAGGATCTCCAACTTAACGTCTTTTTCCGATAAGAAGAGCACTGAGAGAGTTGAGTTGAGTTTGAGTGTTGTGTTTCTAACGACACAGTGCCTTKTCCAAGTAAACCCGGAGTGCGATACCTTAGTAATGACTGGCCGTAGACAATAYGCCCTGACGCGTACGTAAATAATTATGGCGTAAAGCAGCTGATCGTTAACATTTTTAACGTTCTAATAACGTGCTATCATTAACTGACTGAAACTTAATCCTAGCTTAGACAAGCTTTACCAATGTGTGCTGCTGAGTCATCTGTATTTCTAGAGTWAAACAGTCGTGACAACTTGTAAACCGCACATGCAAAAAAAACTCCCTAGAGATTCGAGGATTGGTCGTCAGTCGTAAAAAGAGGAACGAAACTGAATTCGACGTCCGAAAAGTCAGTTAATTCTTTATATATATCTTTTATGGTGTAGTAATATTAATTAAATTATAGCTATCATAATACGCGCTCTCTGATTGGTCAAATGTTATTGTTTATAGTCACCGGTAAGCGCACGGATGCGAAAATGCTATGCTATAAAAACAATATGAACAACACATTTTCGTGCGTTTCTGGTGTACTAAACCACATGAGATATTGCGAAAACCCTCAAAAGGCTGAAAATCTCTCGACTACGGCTCGAGATTTTTTACATCTTTTTCATGTTCTCTCCCAAACATCCTGTGTGGTTTATTTCACCAGGAGCGCACGGAAATGTGCTGTTTATTGTTTGTTGTTTATTGTTTTCATTTATTTTTAATCCTACCTTATCAGCATTAAGGTGTTACCTCGGAGAAAGGATTAACAATTTAATTCAGCAATAGGTGCTAAGTACGCACATAGTTAGTATGTATTGATCAGGGTTATTACGGRAAGTGTTTTGAAGGTGCCAAAGTCGWTTTTATGAAGCGTGTTAATCCTTTTCCATTACAGATGATCAATTGTTGATTAAAATKTTTTAACTAGCATTTTACAATTTCAGTACACACTGTATTTACTATATTAGCTGTGAACAAATATGTGTAAAACAAAATAGTGCTATGCAAAACATTTTGTGTCTTTATCTCTTAATTGTTTGATAAGTACAATATTCTTGGTGCAATTCGCAGAACATGAGTCTTGGATAATACCCTGTATTATGATTTCCAATTAAAGGTATCAATTAAAAGTTAAATTACGCCGTTTCAGAAATGCGTTACACATGCTAAATAATTTAACTTCGTTCGCCTATATGCCACTTAATATCACTGAACTATTGGGCGCCATCGCATACAACACTACTCCATTTTCTTTATAGCTTCTTGTGGAGTTCCGAATAGTAACTCAAGAATTCGAAGGCGTGTATCTTTTAGAGCTATAGGAGGGCATCTTCAACTCCAAGAACTGTCAAAAAGCTAAAAAAGGGTAAAGGTTATTGATTAATTAAGATGTAGGATGGTCAAATCTTTATAACCTTTTTAAACTTGAAAACATCTGACTAAATCATTTTTTAACAAGAAATTAAGATTTTATGTTTCATCTTAAATCTAGTAGAAGACAGTTTAGTATATTGTTGCGCTTTTTTGTCTGGGTTCTGCCATTTTTGGACATTTAGCAAGTTTATGGCATATGTTTATGACCATCTCGCCAGCTGCTCTAACACCTTTACCGCACTTCTACAGGGTATCTCTCGATCAAGCTCAAAATCCAATATGGCCRACCTTATAAAATCCCCCGCCTTCTTCATGTTGACTCTTTTGAGTTTTTACCCTCGAATCGAAAGCCACTTCAACACAGAYGTTATCAAAATCAACGCAGGTGGTTTATCCGTGCTACGGGATGATAGAAATGGCATCCATATTGCCAACTTTCAGAAAACTGCACAAGATAAATTCTCCAGTTTGAGCGATTTACCGAMGAAACTTCTCCAAGTCAAAACGTCCGGCGATTGCCTTTACAAATGCACGACAAATCAAAAATGCGTGTCCGCCATTTTTTCAATATTTACTAATCACAATAAAGAGCATTACTGTTGGTTGTTTACGGAGGAGAGAACTCAAGTGCATTWCTCGTATTCGTACGAAGACAGTTCCATGGCCAAATACTACAAATTCTTCACTTTGAAGGTAAGAAATGAAGGATTCCGCCATTATTTCAATATATGCGACACACATTGTAACTATTGAATTAGTTGTATAATGGTATAGCGTGTTTGCCTGAGTTTCGTTTTTTTGTGTTTTTTTTTTTTACTTAATCATTTAGTAGAACATTTCTTATGTTTTTCATGTGTGTGATAAAGAACAAGTGTCTGCAAGAACCGTGCAAAAATAATGGTATTTGTGTTCCATTCTACGCCAACAATTCCTTCACCTGCACAAAGTGTCTAAAATGTTTCAGCGGGCAACGTTGCGAAGGTACTGTCCAGGAAATACCCAATTCATGTTGCGTGCATGTTAAAGTCTGGCAGAAGTACTTCTGAGTCTGTTAACCAGTGCGAGCGCGGATCCAGTTTCTTCAGGGAGGGGTGCTAGGATCTTTCGACCCATTCGATGAAAACGYGCGCAAAAGCTAGAGACACAGCTGCAATCCCTGTAGTGCACGTTTTTAAAAATTAAACCACCAGATAACGTCATTATTTGCACATTCTTAATCTTCACTCTGATTTTAATTTACCACACTCAAAGTTCAAGGCAACCTAACAGCTCTTGGAATGGAAGACGGACGAATCACCCGGACTTCAGCTTCATCTATTTACAATCAAAGCCTCTGYTCATCRGCAGCACGCCTACGGGTTGCAGAAGGATGGGCCGCATTGACGCTTTCTGTTGGACAGTATTTATGGGTTGATCTTRGAAGAACCACCACMATTCTGGCTGTAGCAACCCAGGGAAGACGTACAATCTATCCAGTGCAGCAGTACGTCAAATCATACACCTTGAAATACAGCAACGCCAATATTTATTATTACGACTACATGGTCGATGGCGTGAACAAGGTAGGTATATCCTCAGAGTAGATTCATCTATTCATGACTAGAACCTCTGGGCGAAAGTTTGTTTAGGACGTTATTTTAATGATACGTCGTTGTTGGGAGGCCTACATCACGGAAGAGTCCCTCCATGGCGTACGCGATTGCTGGTATAGAAGTCATAACTAATTACCATAAGTCCATAAATAGTTATAGACTTGACCATTATTAGTTTGGACCGCGAAAAGACTTCTGAAGCTTTTACGCCACATATTTGATTTGCAATGCATTGTGGGATCAGTTTGTGGGTAATATATCCTACAGTGCATTGCAGTATATGACGTAAGAACTTCAGGAAATCAATGATACGAATTGATAATGCATTCTTAGTAATACATTATATTCAAGTAATCTACACTGATAAGAATTTTGATTAATTAGAGGAATTTTGCGTTGAATGACCTTGAATAACTTATAATTTAGAGGTATATCTATGTGTATTGAATATATCTTTATTCCTGTAGGTATTTAAGGGCAATAATGACGGAAATACAGTGGTAACCAATTATCTGACTGTCCCTATTTCTGCAAGATACGTACGATTTGTTGTCCAAAGCTGGCAYAATCACATTGTGATGAGAGTTGAACTATATAGCTGCAAGTTGGAATAGTTGACTGACAAAAACAAATGAATATAAAGCTTGAATTGATAAGCCTTGATTGGTCTTCAATCGCGGAAGCCTGTTCCGCAATAATAGGCGATATGCATTATGGCGTCATTTACTACAACTACCAGAATGCTTTGCCAACTTTCTTAATGCAATTAATGCCAATTATTTTATTAATCTCCAAGGGAATTAAAAATCTGAATAACAATGAAAATGCGCAAGTCTCTCTGGTAGTTGTAGTAAAGTTACGTCATAATGCAAACGGCCTATTGCCACATGCACTGTAATATTTCTTGTGTAATCCTAAAAGATTATTTCTCTGCATGCTATCTCATGCATGACCGCGACAAGTGTAAATATAAATTAATGCACGTCTAATAAATAATTACAGCAACAATTAAATGTCACTCTATCTTTGTTGTAAATCCTGTGTCAATTCATTTTCGTACCCAGATCCTTTTCAGTTTCCGAACGGAAAATCGAAGGCKYGCCTGGTCGGAACGATGCGAACACATTTTGAACCAAYCCAAATCAAAGACYTTTTCAWCTCCCARCAGATCCTTTGGTTTTYGGTTGGAAAACTGAGAAAAATCTGGGTATGAGAATTAGTCAGTCGCATTTCATAAGGTGATGTTAAAAAACATAAGAGCGCAAGGGATCTTGGTAACCCATTCAGAACGAAATTCGGATCTGAAATATAGAAATTAGATCATTCTGTTCAGGTACATGGACCGCGGAGCAGGGGGGAGGGGGCTGGGGGACTACAGCCCCCCCCCCCCCAAATAATTTTTCCGACATTTTGAATTTTCTTACTTTAAATAAAGAAGCGAAGAGCCCCCTTATGAAATTTCGACATATTTCTATAAAAATTGTGTAAAAACTGAGCGTGAACAATTAAAATTGAACTTTTTTGCGAAGTCTTTGAGATTTATTGATAATATCGCTGACCTATGCTCCCTTTAGGTTCGTTGCTTTGACTTTGACGATCGTAGCCTTTTGAAACCGGACTACCGACTACGTTTTCTCAATTAAAAGTAGTTGCTATTAATTATTAGACTTTGATAAAGCGTCCCTTTTAGCGACCGGACACAACGGGACTCTCGCTCTCCAACCTCGTTTTGCTTGTTTTATTGTTTTTCTCCTTTTTTATTTCTTTTATTTCCTCGAATTTTTTGCTCGGTTCTCGCGTTTTCTTTATTGCAATTATTTGAGTCTATAGCGAGTACGGTCATTAAAAGTGTCTTTTCCACATGAGTCTCTCCCGCGCATTTCACGATTCTTTATCAGACACTGTTGTTTATCAAACCTCGCCCTCTCCTCCCCTCTCATATAAGTAAACTTTGCCGCGCAAAGGACATTTTGAACGCGCAGGGACTGGATCAACGSGTCTCTGCATCTGCGCAGTAGCGTGATCACCCAACACAAAACAAGCAACGAAAATGGCGGCACAGTGGAAATGAGGAGACCTTCTTTAATTCAAAATTTGCTTGTTTTATTGATTTAGGTCCTGCAGATGATCAAGTTATGAATCCCTCTGGACCTGGTGGTGGCTTTAGACCTGTAAAGCCAACGTTATGTCGATATTTTAGCGCGAATGGATATTGTTTTTATGGCGATCAGTGCCAGTTTCTGCACGCGAAGTCAGCGAATGAAAACAGACAAGGTAGGTTATAACCATGCGATTTAGCTCCGATCCTTGGATTTGAACTCTAATAATCTTTCTCTTTTACTGATCGATTGTACCTTGTTGTAAAAGTTTTAAAATATCGTCCATCTTATTGGTAATTGGTGTCGATTTAGTAAAAATTTGTTGTCCTCGACGAAGTCGAAGGTCAAAACTTTTTTACGTACGGTGTATTTTTTCGTCTCAGTCTCACAAAATCGTATCAAGCATCCAGGCAAAAAAGCAGTGTGCTCGAAAAATGAATTTTCTAAGACTTCATTATCTTACTTATCCACAATTTTGACTTGTTTTTGTTGCAAAATGTGTAAGTGATTTTCAATTTCGGCGGGTAATGAATTTTATGTTGTATGCCCGAGGGCTCCCTAAAAAGCTGTTTTCATGAGAAAAAAAGTTATTCAATTTCCAAAAATCAATAAATTCGAGAGATCTTTGTTCTCTTTTACTTCTCACTTGAACAGTCAATCATTTCGATGAATATGATCGAAGTCAAATATCTTGAGGAAAGCATGGATTGACATATGGAATCCTTAAAAAAAAGAGAAAAAGAAAACCCAACGCGAATTTGAATTTTCTTACAATTAGATTTTCTCTAAAATAGAACAAAGTTATTAATTACTTAACTTGGCTTCTTTGTAATTTCCATCTGTCTTTCTGGTTAAATTACAATTTGATTTAAACTTTTGCTATGTTAGTGTTTTTTTTTTATAAATTTTGGTAGGTTTTTCTTTACTATAAAGGTGCAATACATATGTGTTATGTTTAGAAGGTTAAGGTTTTTTGCRGAGAACATCCTTAAAAGCACTTTGCTGTTTCCCATTTTATGAAGTAAGGTCGTATGAAGGGTGAACAGCTACCAGAAAATTCCTTATTGAGTGAGTAAAATCCATGCAAAATCCATGGGAAGTGGATTGAAATAATATGACTTATCCAAAGATTTTATCCAGGTTGATATTTCTATTGCCCTTTGTGCAACTGAATCTTGTTGCTTGAAAAGCTCAAAGGGGAAGTTAATCAAGTTATTATTTCATATTTTGTTTATCATTGAAATGATATAAACAAGGAAGTTGAAGAATTAGAAAAAAATACAAAATCATGAAAGCAATTTCGTTTTTGTTCTGTTTTAGTGTTCTCAAACATCCATTTGTTCCACCAATAATGCATTATACAATATCACTTACTGATTTTATCACTTGACTTCTCTCAAAAACATTAGTCTTAAACTAATAAGACTTCAAAAAAAATAACAATGATCATAGTGTACAATCTGATATGAATCCAGCATCCATGCAATGACAGTCTTGTCAGTCATCATCAATAAATCACTCATTTCTGTCATTTGCTGAATATTCTAAATTAAACTATATGATTTTTGAGGATGTAAAGATTTCAACAAAACTTTTTCCATCTTCTATTTTATTCTATTTTATTCTACTTAATTTAAAAAGTAGCCAAATTACTTGTGTAAAGAAAGCCATTGGTCACAGAGGAGATGGAGTGAGGCAATAGAGATTGCAAAGAAGAAGAATGTTCTGTTAATAGGGGCGGATGATCCCACAAAATTATCTTTGTGTAATTAGAAGTTAGTTACCACGCGCGCTTATTAGATCTTCTCGGAGCGCGCGCTCATTGTTTTTATGTTGTTTTGTAAAATGTAACGTTTTTCATTCAGTCTTGATAATGGCTCGGTGAGCCGAAAGCTCGACAAAAATAAATAACTTTTAGGTTGAAGTAGCGCTTACATCGTAAAGAAAATAAATAACTTTTAGGTTGAAGTAGCGCTTACATCGTAAAGAATAGACCGACCTACAACCATTTATTTGATCTACAGTAAGTAGCCAAATGTTTGGATCTCCGACAATCTGCAAAGTTATAACACTACATGACCCTTAAATCAAAGAACTGCTGGTCAGCATGCCTTGATTTTAACTCTACATCTTATTTAGCCACATTAAAAATACCAAAAATTTCTTTGTGGTGAATGATAATGGATGATAAATAGCCTGTCCTTTTAATGTTTTTTGAACTTTTTTCAAGGAAATGCCCCATTCCATAGAAGTTCATCAACACCTGTATTTCCGTCAAGTAATGGTCCTATTGGAGCACAGGGACACAGAGTGTACAAAGGCAATAATGCCATGAACCAGCAGGCACAAGAAAATATGATTCACAATTTTTCTGGTCTGTCTTTCTCAGCAAAGGTAAGTGTGTGTTGTTGTTATACTTTTTGGAATCAGTGTTTTTCATAAACCAGTGAAATAAACTTAAGTTTGGGCACTTCAAATTAGTAGTCTTTATTGCGGAATTTGTTTTGGTCACAGTTTATTACACTTTGACTACTGTATTTCACTTTGTTGTTAATTTTTTAATGTCCTAATGTAATACTTTCAGGGTCAAGTTCCTCAAAGTAATGCAATGGCACAAATGCACAACAGCCATGTTTCACCTCTTTCTCCTACAAAGAAGTCTTTCAGCTCATCATTAGCCCCTGGTGGCCCTATATCACCTTTACATTCACCYAAACCAAATCAACCTAAACTAAAGTCAATGCAGCTTCAACCATCCTCRTCTTCTTATGAATTTCTTCCAAACACAACAGTAAGTCAGCAATAASAGAAAACTCTAAAATGTCATTGTTATGGCTGATTTAGAAGGTGCAACTTTTGTCTACAACTAAGTCATCATTACAACATGGCTACAACTATCGTAGGGTTATCAAACAATTGTTTTTAATCTCTACAGCAGTTTTAGCAATGGTGTAATGATAACTTAGGCATGTTGCATGAAATACATACGTCTAAATTGGCCTTTARTAACGATGCTCATTGGCTCTTATCAGTTGTCTTTGAGATACATAAAAGTAGTTGTCTCCCATACTCATGTACTGTCTTTAAGATAAGAGTTGATTTACTGTAAGTTCTAATTGAACTGCTCCTCAACACATAACATGTCAAGTTCTTTTGGTAAAGCAGCTTACTGTGTATTACTGGTTGCCAGTTGATTTCATGGCGCACATGTTGGTAGTTCATTAACAAAGAATTTCTCTTGAATTTACTGTCARCAATGGCCAGTCTTTTCTTCTTCTTTTGAATCTCATTGGAATTATTGAAAATTGGAATTTGATGTGTCCAACATGAGATGATTTTTACATGAACAATATTGCTATAATATGTAAATATGAATTTTGTTTTATAACAGAATCAACATCAGCAGCAGCAGCAGCAACAACAGCCTTTTAACCCTGAGTCTATTGATGGCACTATGTACTTCTACCCACAGCAGAACCACAATCAACCATCAGTGGTAATGTTTTCCATGCTTTAACTACAAACATACATGTACTATCATAGATATATTGAAATCCATGTTTATCTAGAAATTTGAACATCTTAATGAAATAAAATGTTATCCAAATTGTTATCCACATTGGCAGTCAAAACAGAGAAGCTGATAGAGTGTGAGACAGGATGCCCCAGACTAGAATGCATAATATCTATGTAATTATTAAAAACTGAATAAAAATATTTGTCATTAGCGTAAGATTTTAATGAAAAAACGCAGATGTTTTGGTAAGAACTCTGACCTTTCTTGGTGCGTTGATTATAAAAGAGCTAAGTTTACAACGCACTGAGGAAGGTCAGAGTTCTGACCGAAATATCATTCTGTCTTTTTTCATTAAAATCTTAGGCTAGTGATAAATATTTTTATTCAGTTACTCTTCCTAGCTGCAATTTTAAAATATCTAATTATTGTTTGTTGTTTCAGGTGTTACCATCATACCATGCAGTAGTTAGTGAACCAGCACATCTGGCTCATTTACAAAATAACCAAACAAGAAACAATGCTTTCTCAATGTCAGCTCAGCTGAGACAGGTATGTACTTACCTTGGTCATGGTTCCAATATCCCTCCTTAATCCACAAGAATCCCAAAGAGAAAGCAGGAAGTAGTGGTAGCCTGGGGAGGAGTCAATAGTTGAATTAGTACAGTCTCGGTCCAGTCTTCCAAGTCACCAGGAATCCCAAATGCCTTAGAAAGTAGAAAATAAAAGAATAACTTGGCACAGGAGTMTAAATAGATTACCTGAATCAGAATTTAACTTTTTGACAACTGAGCTATTTCTTATGAGCTATATGAAGTTTTCTTTACTCTGAAAATAACCATCAAAACTATTTTTCTTTGGCTTCAAGTGATGATATTTTCTGTAGATCTCAATAGGAACTGTCATTAAATCTAGTTCTTATGTTATTTACTACAGGAGCTAATGAACCAACATGCTCTAAGTATGGCACAACTAGACTCTGATGACCCAAGTAAGTAGACTGTGTATACCTTTYAATATTTTTCTGTGTATAYCTTTCAATATTTTTCTATGAGAAATTGTAGGATGCCAAGAGGTGCTACATTATATTCAATAATCTGTGTTCAATATAATGCATTCAATGACTTTTGAACTATAGTTTTTCTGCTCTAGATATAATTATTATAGTACATGTACATGTAGTATTAAAGTCATGTGCTTACATGTATTTTTGTTTGTTTGTTTGTGATTTGTGTAGGTGTCCCCAAAGAAGTAGACAGCTATCACTCTCTCTGTCCGTTGGAACCTCTTGATACACCACCAGATCAGGTAATACCTTATTACTTAGCAACTACAGTCAACTCTCACTATTACGGACATCCTYGGGACCGTAAATTAGTGTCTGCAGTAGCGAGAGTCCTTTAAAATACAAAGAAATGGCTGATTTTTTGCTGGGGATTCAGTATTTTACTGCTTGGAACTGTAAAATGAAGCAATAGTGGCAAATGATATAAATTGTTCAATCTGTTGATGAATACACTAGTGAAAGAAATGCTTAAAGATTACATTCCATTATTCAGGGACAAAGGACGTTTGGATACACAACAACTTGTTACAAAGCTGTCAATAGCAAAGATGGGCTGCTCTAYGTACTGCGAAGGGTCAATGGTCTGTTAATGTTGTTTATGAGTTTTATCAGTTTATACTCCAAAGGTCTTGTCTGGTAGTAAACAATATGTGATTAAGAAAAGCATAATTGTTGTCGTGCCATGAATTTTACTAAAAGTAATGAAATAAGAAAGTTCAAGTTCTTTTTGCAAGACTACATGTACATGTAGTTACTATTTCAAAATTGCTACATAGGGCATGGTCAAATGCTTATTTTAATCTTTATAATAAAGCTATCAGGATTTTTTACAGTCATACTTTTTAGTGCAAAATGGCAGTTCAAGTTAAACTTGTGTGTGTGTTTTTTTTTAGCGCAAGGTATCAGCTGTAGATTTTAGACAATTTGAAGTATTAATAGTTCCAGTTTAGTGCAAAAGAAGGGTGACAAAATTGTCTCTCCTAATGAAAATGAGCTCAAAAACAATGACTTTTRCAAGTTGAACAATATTAGTCAACATTGCAAGGCATTTGACCAATGCCTTAWKTGAAAAACCCAAATCTTACAATTGGATTTTATCTTTTTAAGGTTACCGAYTAGTGAATGCAAAATCAATGGTTGTGGTTGACCAGTGGAAGAAAATAACTCATTCRAACATTGTTAATTTACGCGAAGTTTTCACAACCAAAGCTTTCAGCGATAGTTGTAAGTTACCATRAYTKTTCTTTCRAATGCAAGTATTTATGGATCAATTTGTRCATAKTGAGTWATGTTTGATTACATATTATCAAAAATCATTCCCAGCTCTTGTGTTTGTGTACGACTACCATCCTGGTGCTGAAACTCTGCTCAGTAGACATTTCTCAGGACCTGACTCCACACTACCTCTCAACCCAGATGGATCTCTGGCCTTCCCAAGACCTGGAATGCCAGGTCCAAGTGGTAGATCAAGACATGGGGGTTTGATGCCAGAAAAGCTAATATGGAGTTATATCATCCAGCTATCGTCAGCTCTGAGGGTTATCCATTCGGCAGGGTTGGCTTGTAGAATGATCGATCCTTCAAAGATACTTCTAATTGGAAATTCCAGGTAACACTATATGTACATTTAAGATACTTGGGATCTCTTTCTTTTGGTATGTAGCTGCAAGGAGAAATATATGCATTAAAAGACCATTGACAAGTGGAATCCCTTAAAAGCTTTTGTTTATGTTTCAAAAAAATACATTGTCATGTAATGTTATAATATTTTAATTTTTATTGTTTGCTTAAGTAAAATCAATTTTTTTATGTAACTGTCTTATATTTTATTCATTTTATATGTTTTATCTAAAAGGTGTTTTTGTATTATTTTATTTTCAGATTAAGAATAAATGGTTGTGGTATTTTTGACATTTTAAGTTTTGATCCTGGGAATAGCCCTAATGCTATTGCTCCACATTTTCAAGTAAGTTTTTTTATGACATTCAGTCCAGGTGGTATTATTAAGTTGATTACTGATGATATTTTTCTGATATTTCAGCAAGAAGACTTAACATCATTAGGTAAGCTGGTTCTTGCCTTAGCTAGTTGCTATTCCTTACAGTCAATACAACGTGAACATATACAACAAGCACTGGAATATGTAGCAATGAACTACTCTGCTGACYTAAAGAACCTTATCATGTGAGTATYCTCATCCAATATCCCATCCATCCATCCCTCCATTCATCCATTCCCATTTTATTCACGTTTAGCTATCTACTGGGAAGTCCACCACCAACTTTGATGAARAGTGTCAATGATATTATGCCTATGATTGGAGCAAGGTTTTACACGCAGTTGGARGCAGCACAAGTCAARTGYGATGTRCTTGAAGGAGAACTTGCTAAAGAAATGGAAAATGGACGAATTCTTAGGATTCTATCAAAACTAGGAACTATAAATGAGAGGCCAGAGTAAGTATACAATGCATATGCAAAAGTATTTAATACTTCAAATGAAAAATAATGAAATGTTGGAATAATGTTAAAGGAATTTGCAGAGAACAGTCCTGTTTGTAAATTGACCAGAGATCAGAATGAGACAAAATTGTAGTGTCTATAATGCGAATTGATAACATACAATATCGACCCTGTAACATTATTATTATTTTATACAACTTCGTTTAATCGGTATTATATTTTTTCGGGATATAAATTTTAGTTTTGTTTTCTTGCAATGATTTGACGATTTTTAATTGATCTTTAMCTACGCAAAGAACGCCATTCAAGAAAAAGACAAAGCCTCAATTTCCATTTTTTTCATTTCGTTGTAGGCTTGGTATGGACCACAATTGGTCAGAGACTGGAGATCGGTATCTTCTCAAGCTGTTCAGAGATTATCTTTTCCACAGTGTCACAGACAATGGTAGTCCTACTGTYGACTTGTCTCACATCGTCACATGTCTAAACAAGGTATCTGARCACTAGTACATGTATATTCATTGTCTGCGTTATCAATAAGTGGTAAAGTTGCCTCATTAATGCGATAGGATAGAAGTTGATTKGTTTGCTGATTGAGTTAGTCACATCATTTATTAAGTTCGTTTGTTGATTATTTGATGATTGATTGATCAGTCATTTGATTGATTGATGATTGCTGGACTGATTGATTGATTAATGATTAATTGCTTGATCGATTGTCTGATGTGAACTAGCGGTAAACTAGTGAGAACTGCGTCGGTGTTTCTAAAGAAACAGTTGTATAAAAAGATAAATCTAACTCCATAAAAAATAGGTGAAACAACTTACTGACGTTTCGGACGTTAATCCTTCGTTGGAGTAAAGATCGATTGACTGATACATTTTATTTTAAATTCGTTTATAGCTGGATTCAGGAACAACAGAAAAGGTGTGTCTAATGTCAAGGGATGAGCARTCTGTTCTAGTTGTCTCGTATCGGGACCTTCGGAACTGCTTTGAAGGCGCATTCAATGAGATTTTGGCCGCCTCGTTGTCGTAACCATAACCCTTGGTGAGGTATCTCTGTATATACACTACTCACGCATGAACATCAACTTCGCAGAAAATCATGGATGCTTTTTATCAGAATATATGTAGTTATATCTTGTAAATTGTATAAAACATCAGACACATTGGAAAATACCTTTTTAAAATCAGTAAACTACATTAAGGCTATCTTTTGTATGTGAATATGGTTTCTTACATTAACTTTGTAAGAACATCTCTCTGTAAGTTGTAAAGCGTGTATCAGATAATGAGGTTTTTGGCAAAGGGTTGTCTCAGGCCAATGTGACCTCAGTAAAATGAGTTACTTTTTTCGTACATTGATAAGTTATTTAGAGCTATGTAATATTTAGAAATATTTGAGATATATTAATAATTGAAAACTAATTGATATGTACTAATATAATATTTCATAGTTTACGTAATTCTTCAGTCAACGTTATTACTTTCATGGGRTCTATATATAAACTTATAAATTTGTCTTGAAAAGCTTGCCTTTACTAGCAATAACATAGTATTTGTGCAAATCTAAATATTGATAATGAAAAATTAATATTTTTACTCTTGAATATTCTTAGACATGATTCTAAGATTGAAAATTCTACGCTATTTAGACATTTAAATACTCTATACAGCATGATATTCTTGATTCGATTGAAGTGTCAAATACGCTCTTTATCAATTATGACTCGGTGTATATTTTTCTGTCATGAGAAACATTTCAACTTGAAATGAAATGAACAATTAATTCAAAAAATCACTCTACAAAACATTACACAAGCCTGAGCAAAATCGCATATAATATTACATGTGCAGTTTTTGTCCTTATAAAAGCAAGTCTGACTTGTTACCATTCACCGTTGGACTTTCTCGAATATCTAAACGCGGAACAAAACATATATAACTATCTCCTAAGAGACGAGAAAAATCGAAAAACTATGTAAGGATGACTTGKGGATGAAAACGTTGACATACATCTTGGAGCGGTTTACGTTCTAGTTTTCAAACTATATTTATATATTTCATTCCATAAAATATTTGCAAAAGTTGTTGTCATGTTGTAACCTTCCTTTAGCGTTCTGTTTTGTTTTTGTTTTGTTTTCTCTTTGTTTTTTTGTTTTGTTTTGTTTTTTTTCTATCGTAAAAGTTATTGTGTTGATGGGCAAAACACCTCTTTTTCGGTTAGTTCTTATATTTTTTATTGTATTTGAGATTTTTTGTTYGTCTTTGATGAAATAATCTACGACCTTTTTTCTAAACTTTTCTTCAAGTTGTTCTTCATTTAACATGTTTAACGGACAATCGTATGTACCAGAAAGTAAAAGTGTATTTATTTTCGTTGCATTTATTAATTTATCTGAATTTAGAGTATTGCCTTCTGTACTTCAAAGGGAGTAATGATGATTTGAGCGAGTGGTATATAAAGTTAGCACAAAGCTTAGCTTCTTCCAATCAAGCTTTTAGAAAAATAGAGAGTTTTAGCATCACGTTGACGGCAAACGGAAGAGCTGAACCAATGACCTAAGAATTTCGTGCCTGACCTTGTGCTTTTGGTAGTCATTTGCAAGAGCGGCTTTTCACGATTATGGCAACCTCAAAATAACCCGCTCTCGCGTTGAAACTGCAACGTTAAACTCAAAAAAAGCAGGTCCACGTGATCTTTTCTGCCGTTTGCCGTGAACGTCATGCTAAACCTCTCATTTGTGACTTGAACAGACTTTATTACCAACCAAGCCGCCATCTTGAATTCTATTGTTTTCAGTATCGATTCGATAAGAAACTATGGGATGCCCATGGGGMACTGAACAAGACGTTTTGCAATGGAATTTGATGATCTATTGAAGGAGAAAAACATCAACTCGAAGATGGTTGTAATAAGATCTGTTTATAATAATGCTTATTGACATTACGTTCAGTCCTCGTTTTATATTAAATCATGAATTATATACACATTACAGTACACTTTAAAAGCAACAACTTAAAATTAAATAATCTTAAATTTGAACGTAACCAAGTTTCTCTGAAAAACRATTTTCTCTAGTTTGAAGCAATCATTTCAACTTGTCGTACAGTTTCTTCTGATTGTTCGGAAGAAAGTCGAAAGAATTCATCGTAAATACTACTCAATCTCGTACCCAGAGTCCACATTTTTGCCATCCAGCGGCGTCAGCAGTCCGCTGACATTAAACMGTGAAGACTCCGGGCTCGAGATYGGGTAATCTATAAAGTGTGTCATTCCAACTCTGTTAGAGTTAGTAAACATGTAGCTATTGTGTCAGTGTACTGCAGGGGTCCATGTCTATAATCCATCAACTCTGTACAGCATGATTTTAAGAGGCTGGTTATATATTTTCCATATTTATAGTCAATGTAGTATTCATTTTTTTAAGGAATTATTTTCAAGATATAAGGTATAATAATACTTAATTATATCACAAAGAAAGTAAGTAGAAAAATTAAGTGTGGATATTTACTAAATATATACAAATTTACTCAAAAGTATCAGTAAATACAGTTTAGAGTAAACTAGTTAAAATACCTTTTTTAAAAGTTCTGAAATACTGCGAAATCAATAAAAACATATACAGCTTATCGTAGTGTTGTGTCGTTGATATAAGTAGAGTTTATATCCATGCATGAAGACAGGGCATTTCTATAGATACCAGAGAGATTACGTCATTTTTTAAGAATCAAAACCAACCGTTGTTCCTTGCGAGCCGAAGCGCCATTTTAGGTGGATACGGAAATGGTGGATTCGTAGGAATAGAGAGCGCGAATCCAGTTTGGACAGAAATACCTTAATTAACTAAGTACCTCACAGGTACTATCAATCTATAATCTATTGTATGCTTGACGATGGTAGGAGCGCGCGATGTATTGTGGTTGGTTGTGATTCTAGAAATAACAGATCAAAACTAAACAATTCCCAAAATCACAAGAAGCCATCAGGAAGCAGGGATACAACTGTTTCCGGTGCATGGAAAGGTCCTTCTACAAAAATCTTATGTACTGGACCGTATTTGACTGGGTGTGGTAACAAAACAGTCCAAAAAAAGGATAGTTTCAGGGTGTGCCCCAGTTTACATTAGCTGCACAAAAAGTAATACGAGATGCGTGACTTGCTTTAGTAAGGAAAACTAGCTTTTTAATCTTAGCGCGCGTCAATTCTTGACCACTTGCATCCCGCGGATGTCGTGAAATGTTTTTCCGCGAAAAAGTTATTTAAAATACATCCCGCGGAGTTGCATCGAATCCATACACTAGACGTATATACCTAGTAAAAAAAGTTTGTCTGACAAAATGGCGAATGTCAATTGTCGATTGCACGGAAGTAGCCATGGGTTTTTGCTAATTAACGAGACTCATAATAACTGATTTATACTGTAAGATAGTCTGTGGTAAACATTGGCTCCATTTACTCTTCATTTCTTTGCAAGATGAATCCAATAAGTGAAATTTTGTTTATCAAAACAATGTAACTACAGTTCCTTTCGGTCGTGCATTCTCCTTTTGACAATCGCCGTTCCCCGACAATGTTTTTTGAAATAGGTATATAGTGGCAAATCCGAAAAGAAAAGTGTGTCGACTTAAATTTACCTGGATACGTGATTGGAACAAAACCTCAGTTTTACAATAACACCATAAGTACAAAATGCAAAATTTAAGTCTTTATTTGTTAATTTCCCTTCATTTTTTCATGATATTGCTTCAAAAATAAAAATATTATCTATTTACTTTGTTACAAGCTGCWTAGCTATATATTATTAAATGCAACGTACATTCATTTTCTACTGAAAATACATATCTAWWTAATATCTCTGATTTGCTAGCATTCCATGCCCACCGTGTTTCGAGTTACAACGGAGAGAACAAGGTTTTTAGGCCCCTTTTACGTGGGTACCCTTTGTTCAAAACTTAATATATCTCGTCCACAAAATATTTAGGATAGAGACTGCAACTCGTTATAACGAAACATGATTAGGTGTCCGTAATAGTGGGTGAACGCTGCCAATGAGGTTATTTCAGTGAGTTTCTTTATTTCGATGTCCGTAATAAACGGAGTGTCCGTAAAATGGGGTTGGACGTAATATCAGGGTGTCCGCAAGGCGAGACTGTTATCGTTTTATGATAATAGATAATTTTCGTGTSAGTAGAACATGTCAAAGCTAGCTCAGAATTTCACCTAAGACGAACATTACTGGGTAATGCTGAACAATGTACTTGATCAGGAAGGCTATTAATCAATTTTCCACTCTCCGTGCGAGATGGGCCAAAAAAATAGAGTTCGTAGTTATACTATTCTTTCAATCTTGATATGTTTCATGTTGCGATATTTATGGTCACTGAAGAGATTCTGACAGTGTCTTAGTTCTCAGTGATAAAAACGATCAAAGTTCCTGCTTTCACCTAGAAATCTTCAGTTATGAACTCGTTGGTATGTCGAAGACGGTACTTTCCTGCTGTACCTCTTTCYGGCAGTCCTTCAGAGGATTCACTAGTAGCAATAGCCGTATAACCGCTAGAGAATGGCAGTCGTATACCCATTTCGCCTTCTTCTGGTTCTGGCTTCTTATAGCTGAGGAAAATAAAATGAAATGATGATTATGTTTCATGAAAGTCCCTATCAACCTTTGCTAACCCCGTAACCAGGCCATTATCACTTGGCACCAAATGACAGAATAAGAGCCTGGATACGAGGTTGAGCACAAGGTCAGTCAGTTTGAGCCTACGGAACGGTAAAGACTATCTTGACGTCTGGAAACTGAGTATAATACTAACAACCTTTAACWTTTTGTTTACTTTATAATTAACACGATAAAGAGCGAGAAGAAGGAGCGAGGTACCAAAAAMAGATTTATCCCAAAGCCATTTTAACYCATAATTACACCAGCACCACTTAGTTTGATGCACTCACGTATTCTGAACTAGTCGTTGTATCGGGGTAGCAGTAGTTGTGTTACTGTTATGGTCGTTATTAATGAGGTTGGTCGATGTTGATCGATCGTTCTTCGTGTGGAAGAATCTCCATTTTCGTCTGTTGATTGTTAGTGTCATATTACGGCAATCGATGCAAGCATGCATTCAAGCAAAATATGTGTTATATAACAAAAAATAAATAAACATCAAAAATAATATTTGAAAATAGCAATTAATTCAAGTGCAGAGACCAATTTCACTTTCTTTTGTCTTGTAAGTTATTCTAGGAATTTACTTTCCAAACGCTGATTTTATATTTTTGCATGACAACTTTGAATTAAAGCTAAGACCAAAGAGATTCATRGGAAATACATCACCATTTCCCATAAAACCCCTCGGTCACCGCTCGATCATGTGATCTATGATTTTGAAACGGAGGATGTCGATTCGACCGAGTGAACACGTGATTTATTTATGAAATTGACATGTCTTCAAATCAGTGAATACTCACAGTTTGAGAAACAATGACGAGCTAACGACAGACACAGACGATAAAGCCATGGCTGCACTTGCCATCCATGGTTTTAGTACCACACCAAGTGGTTCAAAGATCCCCGCAGCTAATGGTATACCAATCATGTTGTACAATAAGGCGAACAAAAAGTTGATTHGGATGCGTCGAACAGTGACACGCGACAGGTCGATAGCAGCGGCAACGTCCATTAGGTCATTCTAAAAAAAAAGAAAGAGAATGTCACTTCGACATTSTTATGTCGGCCGTTCCGTCCGTCTTTTCTTTTAGCAGGTCCTGAAAGACTAGGCGTTAATAGTCACTCCGATAAAGTTCGGGCCTCGAGCTAGGAACGCCTGCCTRCGCACGACAAGGGAGGTGCGGACTTAGGATTTCCCGACTTCCCATCTTGTCTTTCTCCCAGCCAAGGATTCGCCAAACTGCCCAAATGAAGAACTTTAGTATAACAATACCTTTATAAGTACAATGTCTGCAGCTTCAACCGCTACGTCAGTCCCCGTTCCTATGGCAATACCAACATGAGCTTGTGCCAGCGCTGGTGAATCGTTGATACCGTCTCCAACCATTGCAACGGTAAAGTCACGATCTTGTAGAGATCGAATCTTTTCTACCTTGTGGGATGGYAAAACCTCTGCAAAAACCTGCTGTATTCCGACCTAAAGAAAAAAAAAAGCTTTTGGTTAATTATATCTTATTCGACCTTAGCCTGTTAATTTAGATTAAGTAGTGTTATCTGACCTGCTTTGCGATGGCCATCGCTGTCTTCTTGTTATCGCCGGTAAGTAAAACCACACGAATTCCCATTCTCTTCAGAGTTGCAACGGTGGCTTGCGCTTCGTTCTTTACAGTGTCAGCAACTGCCATCATTGCCACAAGATTTCCTGGTACAAACACATAAAACAGTTATATTTTCCTGTGCTAGAAATAAGGAGGCACTTTCTCGAAAGGAAATACTCTGACTTTTCCCGCCTTTTTCGGTTGTTCCGGTTGACGCGCGCACCATTTGCATTTCCCGCTCTTTTTGATGGAGTTTTTGTAATGGCCATTACGACTGTTTTAAATTTCAACCTTGTCCTTATATATCATATATTAGAGTGCATGGTTTCAAATTTGATATACAAATTTATTCAATAAATAAAAGTGTCCATGTTTTTTTGTATCTCAAGCGCCAAGACGGACGAACTAAATAGTACTTGCGTGACATAAGCAAAGCGGAGTTACCTTTCAATAAGTAACGCAACTCACCATTGATAGCTATAAGAACAGCCGTTTGTCCCTTCTCTTCGTGTGATCTCATTGCGTCCTCCATGTCATCTGTTACAAATAAACTGTTCTGCTGCATCCAATCACGATTGCCGATAAGGACTTGGTAGGAATCTGACGTTTCTTCATCACTCTTAGTTTCTATAATTAGACGTTTGTTCAGGTAAATTATGAGATGGTCATACAAGTTATAATTTTTAAAAAGCATGCAAAAACCTATGTAAAAGTCCACGCGAAGAAAGTACACAGGGCGTATTTACACGATAAAATCAAGTGCGGGATTCAAACTCTCTCTTTTAGTCTCACTTAAACTGAAATAAAAACCCAGKTAAGGCTACCTTCATCGTTGGTATTGATGTCCTGAAAATTGTCGAYAATCYTCCCTTCAATAACAACATCCACATTCTTAATATTCTTTTTTCTCGTATTCAGAAGCCCGTGGATATCAGATACAGTACATGAAAGACCATAGCCAGGAACTGCCTGGAAATCACTAACATGACCTAGTGTTTCTACATCAAGCTCCTGCAAAATGTACATAATAAATTTATTGTATTAGACACAGTAGTAAAGTACCCATGAAATTGGTTCACAAATGTATGWGTTTAGYTCTTTATTCAAGTGCTACGACAGMAGGGAAGGGAAGTCGAAACGCATCTGGACTAAATTACCTTTATAAATTKGTTACCTTTTTCGCGTATTTAGTAACAGCTACACCAAGGGGGTGTTCACTATTGTTTTCTGCTGTCCCGGCAACTGCGAGAAGCAAATCCAGACTACAAACATCTGGTGCAACAAATAGAGCTGTCTTGACCACTTCTGGTGTACCATGCGTTATAGTTCCAGTTTTGTCAAATACTACTGCCGTGACCTGAAATTTGTCACACAATTAAATAAAGAATGCGTGACAACGTGGTGACTGGGGCAAGTGCAAAAAAAACAAAAATTTCACAGCACAAGATGTAATTAAGAGTAACAAAAAAACATGCACAAAAAWCAACGCACTCTAATAAAATCAATAGAAACAGCAAATGATATATTTTTGATTTCAGTATCCACTCTATAGGTCCACTAGCTACCTATCTATGAAGGACAAACATAAACGAGAATATCAATACTAACCTTGTGAGCAACTTCCAGTGGTTCACCACCCTTAATTAGAATTCCGTTCTGAGCACCGATTCCTGTACCCACCATGACYGCTGTAGGTGTGGCTAGTCCTAGAGCACACGGGCAAGCGATAGCCAAGACAGTGATGGATATTTGGAAGGCAAAACCGATGATAAACTCATCCTTGTTGTCATTTGCAGGCTGAAAGAGAAATGACGTGAACTACTCTAATCTCAAATCAAGCAGACCGCCGACACTTAGCCGTGAAGACTCATCAACAAGAGGTGTCAACAACGTAAAACAACGAGCAATACTTACGTCAAATTTCTTATGCAAMAGGTTAATATTAACATATCCAATGATAAGCCATACAATCAGCGTTAAGACAGAAAGAGAAACTACTATAGGTACAAAGTATCCAGASAGCTTGTCAGCAAACTTCTGGATCGGTGCCTAAAAATAAATTAATTAGCATAAATTAATTAGCACGAATTCCTTTCGAGCTGCTATTGTGTATATAGGGAAATACAAGTATATTGTGACATAACCAAAAACGTAACACTGTTTATTATCCATTAAATCTCTACGAATGGAGATATTATTATGGAGGTGATATTTTCCATATGAAAACGGTAAAGCACGTCCGCATTGAATGCTGGTTTATCGTGGCCCTTTAAGATAAATGGCATTCGCAAACTGCAGAGAGAAATCAGTTCACATACTGAACGAAAACTTCAAAAGTACCTTCGAAGTCTGTGCTTCCTGGACTAGTTTWACAATCTGTGATAATGTTGTATCCTGGCCAACATGGGTTGCCTCGATTARTATGGAGCCATTTTGGTTCATAGTACCGCCGATGACAGAGTCGCCGATCTTCTTGGGGACCGGCATGGATTCACCWGTGATCAGTGACTCGTCCGCCATCGATGAACCGTGAATTACTCGCCCATCGACTGGGATCTTGGCTCCAGGAACAACCTTGAAAAGAAGGTTTTCGTTACTGCTCACTTATTATCATCTATTTGCATCGAATTCGACGCATTTAAAATTCGTCGTTTAAAACATTTCTTAAAGAATCATAACTATTATTGTTTACATACGTTTAAATGCGTCAAGCATACAATAAATTATAGATTGATAGTACCTATGAGGTACTTAGTTGTTAAAGGTATTTCTGTCCAAACTGAAAGGACGGAAGACCATTTGCGCTCACTTTAAGAAATCCTACAAATCCGCCATTTCCGTGTCCACCTAAAATGGCGCTTCGGTTCGCAAGGTACGGCGGGTGGTTATGATTCTTTGAATTACCTTGAGAATATCTCCTCTTTGAACAAGATCGACATGAATCACTTTCTCCTCAACCACAACAACCGAAGAAGGTTTAAGCTTAACCAACACAGCATCTGATGGCTGAAGGGAAAGCAGTTTTGCAAGCGCCTCCGATGTTTTYCCTTTGGCAACGTATTCCATCCATCGTCCAAGAGAGATGAACACTAGCAACATCGGCGGAGTGTCAAAGAATGTCATTGGGCTGTGTGGGTTTTGTTCGGACATTGCYACTGCGACTATRATTATCTGAAGAAAATAAGGAGCATCAATTACGCAATGTTCAGTTACACCACAATGAAGATATTAGTCTCAGCATCGTATTATGCAACGGCGGTAAAAAATGCTGCTGGGGAAAGCACAGTAAAACAGACTGATGATGACTGGCATTTTTTTGTTATTGATGTTACTGTTGTTGTTGTTGTTGCTGCTGCTGTCGTCGTTGTTGTTGTTGCGTGTTCTAGTGCTGAACGATGCAGAGATCGCGTCTGTTTTTCAAAACGTAATTCTGTAACTCCACTTCACAGCGTATCACATCTCCAGCATTTTTCCTCGCAATTAAGAGGCTTTATATAACCAAGCCCACGCGTAATTTATGGTCTAGTTTGTATCAAGCGAGCTATTCATGCAAATGATGGGAAGCCTGTACAACCCGTCGCCAGATTGGTTGCTTACCCGAAATAAATTTTATATTAGTACTCAAAAATTTGAAAAAAGCACGAAATACGTCAATTAATATCAGTCATGGACAACGTACCGAGTAAACATATGCTATTGTGGTGGCCAGCATAATAAGAACATCCATGTTTGTCGTGCCATGCTTTAGAGCTTTGTATGCAGTGACGTAAAAATGTCTTCCACCGAGGAACTACAAAGGAAATAAAAAAAATGCAACTTTTAACAATTTGTAAAACTAAACAACCAGTGCAATTATAGGAAGCAAAACACTGACTTCGAGCCTTGGTAGGATTTTTGTAGATTTTACGCGGTTTTCACGAACATATTGCAAGCATATCAGAAAATGTTCATGATGAGCATGCTAAGGTAGGCAATGAAGGTAAACAGTGGTTTTTAACACAGGTCTCACTATATGCGATTTCTTTTTTTTAAAGGAATATTTTATTTTATTTTTATGAATTGCGCATTGTCATTACCCGACATTATATTAGCTTTTAGTTTGAGAGAATATTTAATATTGCTTACTCAATATATCCCACAATGCACCTTACCTGTACAGGTGTGCAAAGAATAAACATCAGAAGGTTTTCAAGAGATAATCCCGGTACAACAAATACCCTTGGTTTCTTTTTACCCAACTCCTCGAATATCACGTGATAAGTCAGGAAAATAGCAAACACAGGGAGTCCAAAAATGAGTGAAAATAGAAATGACCTTCTCCACCTGTGAATGAGAACGAAAAACTGTTCAGATTATAATAGACCATATGAAAAAGGGCGTGGCTATCGTTATGCCTGAGCTTATAAGCTGTATGATATATCATTACTACCCGTTGAAAGAACATATTATAATGAGTGAGATATGAAAGTTTCAATGTTCTAGGACCAGAAATTACAGGTGTTTGAAATTGCAAAGGTTTGAGTGAAAATCAGGATTGACACCTGATCAGCCTCGTTTTTACACTTTTGGTACGTTTTAAGTCCTCGTAGCTCTGACAATTTTTACCATTTGAACTAAAAATATGCCAATTCACTAGCTTAAATATACTCTTTCTTATCGTGGAAACAGAGTTTTAAACAATGGACCGTTTAAGGTGCTCATTCCCAGTGTTCTGCTCGTTTTTCATATGGTCAATATGATGTCTGTCAATAGACATTTGAAGCTTCACATACATGATTTGCAATGCATTGTGGTAATAATTTCTTGAGAAAACAATAGAAATCTGCCATGTTTTGTCCCAAAAATATCCTAAAATGCATTGCATATACGGTATAAGAAATTGTCAGAGAAATGAAATACTCATTGTTTTTCTAATAAAATATGAAACGCAATATCTGGGGTTCCTGTGTCACTTGCTCTTTCCACAGGGAGCCCCAAAAGAGAAAAATTGCTTAACTTCTACGGTGATAGAGCCTTACTTTTTAATGGCAATACTATGATCAATTTTGTCCTTTTTTTGGTCATCAGTTGACATGGTTGCACTAAAACCAAGGTCTTCAATAGCTTCTATGATGTCTCTTGGTCCWGTTATCTCAGTATCATACACAAAACGACCACTGCTTGTTGCTAGGGCAACAGAAGCCTGTAAGATSCCTTGCCGTTTGATGAGAGTTGACTCGATGAGATGAACACATGATGAGCATGTCATTCCAGTTATCTAAAGCAAAAATTACCTCATGTCACATTATAGGTAGGGATACTCATACTATAGAGTGCAAGCACTATACCATGAAAGAGTTAACTAAATATTAAATAGTGCTAAATTGTATTGAATTATACAAATCCCTTTTCTTTTCTATTGTTTAATCAACATTTTTTTGTGCTGTTTAGTACTATTTGGTTCGTGATTTTTCACACTTTAAGTATTAGCACTTTATCCATTACTACGACTATCAATGTCTTTAAACAGCTGGAGTCTCACAGAATTGTCATAGACATGTCTATTTTAGATTGTTATTGAGATGTCTCTTCAGCAGCAGATTCTTTGTTATCACTAATTCTGAAGACTAAAAGAAAATTCACTTTCAATATCATCCACCATGTTTCATTATTTTTCAAAAAGAATCTAAAAATACATGTAGGTATGTCAATGAAAATGCTGTGACCAACCCAATACACATTTTGGATGCTCCTAGTAACATAGTTAATATTAACTAATATTTACTATTAACTATGCTAATAACGAGCTCCTGGTAAATACAACATGATCACAATTTTCTAAATATATTAATGTGACAATTGAATAAATTGAAAATGCAAATGATGTGACGTCAAGGTAGGCTTCATTAAATATACGAACATTGAAGGAGTCGCTAAAAAATGGTTTCATGGCATTAAATTTATTGTAGGCAATGTATGGAATAATCATATTCCCAGATGGCGTTCATGAAAACACTTTTGAGCTACTCTTTCAAAGTTCGTATATCTAAATGAAGCCTCCCTTGACGTCATATCATTAGCATTTTCAATTTTCAAATGCCTTTAACTCAGAAAATACAATTCAAAAAAATTTTTTTTTCAAAACAATGATTATCATCATATTTGCCTTCTGTTAAAATGATTTTCTAAAATGGTTCATATGTACTTTAAAATGCAGCATTGATTTTGAATAGYAAGTTCAGTTACACAGTTACCATGAATACCCTATTGACAAACCTCATTCGGCCGTGAACTGTAAGTAAATTTGCATATAAGAATACTTCAAGTGCTCATGCAGAAAAAATAAGGTGCATGCACTCTTGAAATACTAAAAATCTTTGAACATTTTTAAGTTTTGAAGACACAGTTTTTGAAATGTTTTGTTTATACTGTACCTAAATACCAAATTGTTGTCCAAGAAAAAAAAGTGTTGTTATATTTAGGAATCAATTAAAATACAAGAGAAAGTGTTTTGCTTCAGTGGTCTTCTTAATTGTCTTTAATGGATTCTTAAAATAATTCCTAAATAAATCTCAGGGCAATATTATTTACTAACTTGTATTTGCTTAAATCTTGAATCTAGAATGCTTTTTTAATGTTCTTTACATGGCAATAGAATGTTGAGTTTGAATATAGTTAACCAATTTACAAAACTTCTTTGTGTCACAAAAATTAAGACAAAGACAGTTTTAAAGTAAGGTGATGGTAAATAAACGGCCCCCCACGACATTAAAAAACTGTGCCATAGGGCAGTAAAACCATACAAAAGAAAAAAAGAAAAAAAAAAACTAGTACCAGACAGTTAAATCAATTAAACCAGATATATTGATTTAGAAAGTCTTGCATAGCATTACTAAAATACTACAGTTATTGGTGAAATATTATCAAACATTAGGACTCTACATTGCCTGAATTCAACGTAAATACAAGATGTTGAGCTGGAAAAAAAATGCTGACTGAGATGTAATCTGCATTGACTTTTGTTCATTATRAGATTTGGCATTTGAAAATTGACAAGACAGCTTTGTACTTACTATAATTTCAACAGTATTCTCTCCTTGTCCTTGTTTATCCATTGGTGAACATCCAAATCCCATTTCTTTCACATGACATACTATTTCATTCGGATTAATTCTCTCTTTATCATATTTAACTTCTGCTTTTTGTGCCAGCAGTCCTACCAGCACAGACTTGATGCCTTCAAAACAAAGCAAAATAGACTGAGTTATGTTAGTCACATGAAATGATGTTGACACAGTTGTTTTTAAGATACAATACACTGTGTAAGGCTGTATTTTTCTTACTTTATGCCGTGTATTTCTAACAGTTTTTCACTGTGAATTTTAACCTCTTGTATGAGACATGGTCATTAATTTTGCATTAATACACATCAATTATTTTATAATGTGATGGATTACTATAAGTGTATTAATTAAGTTGATATGTGCTAATATATGTGAGAGTGGTATATCATCCTTAATAAGGTAAAAAGAACAAAAAACAATGAGTGTGGGACTGTTATATGATTAATAAAGGGTGAATAAATCTGGATAAAGCACTATTTTGTGACAGTCTATAATCTGCATCTATTAATAGATCAGTTTGTAGCTGAATTATCACACAGTTTTATAGGATAAACTGATGAATTTCTCTTAAAAATCTCATGTCAATTGATTCATTTATGAGATTTCCTCTTGGTATACAAAATATCAAAAAGACTACCTATAAAAATAAACAAAAAAAATCTTTATGTGAAAAAATATCATCAAATGAAACTAAATTCAAACTAAATGATCTTAAAAAAAATTGAAAAATTATAAATTYAAAAAAATCACAAGGTCTTTTACAGGAGATTTGAAAATATCTCAGATTTTCCATATGAAAATAATAYACCTAATACAACCAATCTCCCATAATAATTACAATCATAATTATTTAAAAAAAACATCTAAAATTTATAATCATCATATTTTTTAAGAATCAAAAACATATTGCTCTAGATTCCATACCATTTTTCTTCATTAATGACCTTTCAATGCTAGCAACACATGATGCACAAGTCATCCCTTCAATGTGTAAATAAACTTTGTCGATATCTTCCATTTTTGATGGCTGGTCAAGATTTGTTGAACTGCTGAACCGCACACCCCAGTCTCCATTGGTTTCCTTCTGTGCCATGGCCACAAAATTGTCTTTGGAATCACTATCTATCAATATCAATAGAAAAAGCTATAAGCACATGTTGCCAGAACACATCTATTTACACAGGTTTTTGAGAAATCTTTTGTTGTTCAGCAAACAACTTTTAGAGCCAAACTTTGTAAATAGTACCCTCTATTATTGAGGACATTAGTGTAGGTCTTTTATTTTAAGGACTCAGAAACAGAGTTTAGTAAATTTTACAAATGATTTCTAGTTTCTTTTATGTTGGTTTAAGAAGTATGTATTTTGAACATTGCTTGAAACATGAGGCCAAATAGTGACTTCTCTCTTATTTATTCAAATTAAAAAAATAAAAATAAAAAATTTATACTTTTTGAGTATTCAACTAAATAGGCTCAAACTAGTAACTACARTAACTGTTATACATTTTGGTTTTTCATGTGATAAGGTTTGGTTTTTTAATCATTGGACTATTATCCTATTCATTCCCAGTCTTTTTTCAATTTCAGGGTTTCTTTTTCAATTTTAACCAATGAGGCTTATTAATAACAAATCAAATGTATAGACCACTTGACTGGTAAGCAAGTGGTCTATAGATAGAACAAGCCTCATCAGTAAAATTCTGAGACAGGTACTTCGACGAGCTAAACTCCTGTGAAGCATAAAGCCTGGTTTCCATATAATCGTTACAATAGCTAGAATCAAAGCAAGATAATAAATCTGAGCGATTCCAGTGATCAAGAGAGTGTTGTCATATGGTCACTACGATAGTTGAGCTACGTAATTCTGGYGATYGTGTTGATCCTAGCGATTATAACAATTATATGTTGGAAACCAGGCTTAAGTAAAATAGTTGTTTACGATGCACTAACAGCCTACTTACCAGTAACTGGAATGGATGCCTCAAAACCCATGTCCTCAATAGCATCTCTTAATTTCTCAGGTGAGGTACAAGAAGGGTCATATTTGATATCAGCCTTTTTAAGGTCGAGTGATACCTTRATATTCAAAACTCCTGGAGCATCTGATAAATTCCCTTCTATTGATTTTACACAYGACATACACGTCATTCCATCTACTCCAATCACAGCCATACGAATATCTTTGTCCACCTTGCTGACATTGTTATCCAAMAGAAYKGCATCAAAACCCATATCTTCTATTGCTTCAACAAGCTGYTCTGTAGTTACCTTTTCAGGAGAGTATGAAATTTCTGCTTGTTTCTTYTCCAGAGAGACATGGATACTTTGAACACCAGTTCTSTKGCCAATGTTCCCCTCRATATTTTTAACACAAGAATTACAAGTCATTCCTTCRATGTTCACTGTTGCATTACAAACCTGAGAACCCTCTCTTGGGAGAATCGCTTCAAACCCAATGTCTTCAATAATCTCTCTAAGTTTTTCTGGTGTTGTAAGTGAACTGTCATATTTTATTGTTGCCTTTTCATTTTCAAGYGAAACATTAGCTTCTAGTACACCGCTTACATTGTCTAAAGCTTTGGTTATAGACTTTACACAAGATTGGCAAGTCATGCCAAGGACAGTGATCTCAATGTCAGTGCTTTCTGGSATTAGACTCTGATTCTTATGCARCTCATCCTTGGTTAARATATCAACCACCCTTTTTAATGTAGCCTCAAAACCAATGCCTTCAATGACTTGAGCTAACTGTTTACCATTTGTTACTTTGGGATTGTATTTTATTTGAGCTTCCTTTTCTTCTAAAGAAACCATAACTTGACCTGTTCCATCTGTTTGTKCCATGGCTTTTTCAATACTTTTGACACAAGACTGACAGGTCATGCCATTGATGGCCAAGTAGGCAACTTGTGAGAATTCATCTTGGTTGTAACTAACGCTGGCAATGTCTTGTAGCTCGTGTTGTTCTGTGACTCCTCCCTTATCCTTTATGACGACCTAAAAAGTGGAATTGAAAACATAAATCTAATGTTATATCAAATGTTAATAAAATGGTGGGAACTAGCGGTAAACTAGTGTGAGCTGCGTCTGAAACGTCAGTAAGTTATTTCAAATACCGTCTTTTTTTTYCTCAAAAACGTTCCTAAAACTCGGGGTGCGGCTTATCTACGAGAGCAGCTTATGGGTAAATACGGTACTTTTTTACGGTGTTAAATTTATCTTTTTACATAACTGTTTCAAATGTTAATTTAAAACTGACGCAGTTTTCTTCAATTCATAGTTTACATGCATGTCTACAAAATTTATTATTTAAATCTTAAAATTTATTAGATTTGGCATCTGTATCTTAGCAAAATTATTTTCTAATCTAACAGAGTTTGGAAATAGTCAGCCTCATATAGTATATGGTTAGCCTATTTTCCCATGATATGCAGGSGTTCAATAGTTTTGTAATGATTTTTGTAGGGGTGCACCCCTCCTGAGATCCCTGCACCCCTCCCTGAGGAAAATCCTGGATATGCCTACTGATATGATATTTTGCTGTCTTTTACTGCCTTTCTTTGCCTTACAATGTACAGAGTAAATGTCGAGTACATCACACTTGTACATGTATCTGCCACTGGCATCATCACTACAAACAAATAAATTCTGACTAAACTGCTTTGAACCTTTTCCCAGTTTAATAATGAGTATCCAATTATTTATTCTAGAATAGCTCCACTGATAAATCAGTTTGAAATGGATGATGTAGATTTATTCAGCTTTATTTTATATTCTTGAAGTTACATTCACACATCTCCTTAGTTGAATAGTATGCCCTAAAGGGTCAGACACTGACCATTAAAATATAAAAGATTAGGAATTGCATCTGTCTAAAGCTTGATTTTCAAATCAGGAAAGCCACAGTTGGGGCCTCAAAATTCTCAAAGCTCTTGTTTTAGTAATACATAATATCACGACATTTATAAACAATTAAAAGAACAAGAATTAAGAACATTATCACACATACAAAAAACACACACACAAACAAATAGATTTAAACTACATCTACATGTATAATAGTCAAGAACAGAATATTTTGTGCAATGGATGTGGCTTTATATTTTCAATTTAAAGAAAAACAACCAATTGATACACTAATAATACATTTATCACTATTTTCTGAAGAAAAAAAGGAAGGCCCTTAATTATAAGTTTATATATAACTTAATATTGGTGTTGAATGGTGTTGTAAGAATGACTCTAAAAAATATTAGAAAAACGAAACTCAAATAATGGTCAATAATAAAAATAATAACTTATTTCATGGCAGACATTTGCATGTGGATATGATCAGATGTGCTTGTAGAAAAGAAGCTTAAGAACACAAATCATAAACAACATATAAAATGATTAGAATTCCAACTGGGATATAATGTATTATATACACCAAAGACAGTAAAAAAAATATCAAATCAAAAACATTTTTTAACCATTAATCCATAATACATGTGGTACAACTAGACAATATATCATGAAACAAAATTTAACCTTTCTTAAGTAATTTAAAAAGAAAAAGGCATGAACTAATATCAAGGAGTTAGATACTGAAATAAAAAGAAATGAGAATATTTTTACCTTAGTTTGCTCTAAAAAATCACAAAATCTGATGTCTTTTTCAAAGCCTGTTTCTTTACTAAAAACAATAACATGGCCATTTACAATTGTACTTTAAAATTATGACTCCCACTCAATGACATCACTGGCAACACAAAGACACAGCCATCTGCATACTGAAATAAGGTAACCATGGTAGCCAATGATAAAAGGCATTGCAGCCATAGAAACCTTTCAGGATTGAAGCTGGCTACATGTACATGTACATGTACCAATGTATGAATTCCATGTTTAAACAGGCTTTATTCAAAAAAGGTAATAGTAAATACCCTTGATATGCTGAAAGGATGTTTGATGTTGCTTGAAGGAGATGATTAATGCAAAAAACCTATTCTTAAAAGGATGTTTGAAGAACAAAAAAAGGGTGGGCAATACAATTTTACAATGTATTAAAATTAAACCACAATTAATAATTTCTTTAGAAAACACATTATTTTGGTCATAAGAAATGTTCTACATACACCTGTATTTTAAGTGTGGCTTTAGACAGCATTTTAGGGTTAAGTCTAAAAATCTTTAGTTATTTCTTTGTTGTGATTTCTTAATCCTCAAAAAATACATTAATTATTATTAATTGTCATGGCAATATTAATAGAAGCATTATTAACAAAAGGTGTTTTAAAAAACTATGGTAACCAAGCAATGTTATTCTTAAATTCAAAGTTTATCAGCTGACAGAATTAACAAAATCATGAGTTTACACCATCCAAAAATACTAATTAATTCAAACTTTCTACATTTTAAGTTATTTTTATTTTAAAACTGTAGATTATCCCGTTATTGAACATTTTATAATTGAATGTTACTAATGAAGTACTTAATTTATTTATCGGAACGGGTCTCATGATAGGTTGAGAAAACAATGGACAAACAATAGATAAGTCTTCCAACAATATAACAAAACCTAACCTAACAATAGTGGTGCTGTACTTAAGGAGCAATCAAAAAGCAGGTTTCAATTGGTACTGCATTACTGGATAAAACATACGAAAGTTGACACAACTTAACATTAATAATTATCACAAAATCATGTTTTTAAACTTTTCAGTATTGATAGCATTCTGTCATCCACTGTTGCCATAATCATAATTAATTAAATATAAGTACTATAGCATTAAAACAACTTAATATAATATAATATTTTAATATTCATGCTCAACAATCTCATCAAATACATAATTCAATATTATTACTAATTTTGTCCCTAGTTACCTAGTCAAGAGACTAAGAAAACAGCATTATCACTTCCATTGTATTATTTTCTTACTACAACAAAGCACTAGTAAAGCTACGGTAATGGGAGCAGCAAAGTCGTCCTGCTTGTCTTACAGCTTGCTTCAAAGCAAGTTGGAAAGTGATATTGCATGTTTTACTAATGGCGAACCAAATTGTCTTGCATCAAAATAATTTGATGCAGGTTGAGCAAATCTTCATTTCTGATTGGTCAATGCAGTCAGCTGATTGTCGAGTGACGTCATGTAGTAATACAGGCAAAACCTTTGAGTTTTGTTGCAAAAAGTAGAACCATCTTTTACTTTCTGCAGCAAACTTTTATCAACTTGCAACCAAAAAAATCCATACTCGGGAACCCAGGGGTAATCTTCTGTCATTCATTCCTCACTCCCAGAAAAAATACCACCAAAAAAACTTGCTGAGAAAAAAGTTGGTTGGCCGCTAGTTAAATGCGCAACATCGCTTTCCAAATTGCTTTGCAGCAATGTTGCGGGACAAGTTGTACGAATTTGCTGCTTGTATTACTGTACCTTAAGTAAACATATTACATAGTGATAGGAGTGAGGGTGGGGGTATAAAAGAACCACTGAAGACATATCAAACTACTATGGCTATCAACACCCTCAGTGTTTACATGTACTGTAGCTCATACTACTAACTTACACTAACTACCTCGATAACTGATAACCTTAAAGCTAAAATAGAGTCTAACTGGGACCAGTTTTTTACAGAATGTGAATAGAACTACCTACTGTATTTCAATCTGCAACAATCAATCCTTGTTGCATACACCTATTTCAAAAAACGTTGTCGTGGAGAATGGCGAACAGTGATTATGTTGAAGGGAGATTGCATGACTGAAAGGGACTAAGGTTACACTGTTTTGCCAAACAAAATTCCACTTATTGGATTTACTTTGAATAGAAATGGAGACTAAATGGAGCCAATATTTACCATAGACTATCTTAAAGTATAAATCAGTTATTTCTTATCAATGAGCAAAAACCGTGTGTTGCTTGCAGTCGTGGAATAGCTATTTGACAATTGCCATTTGCAATTTTATCCAACAATCTTTTTTGAAATAGATACATGCATTATAAAAAGCACAACGTGCTATGAAGCTGATTTAATTATCATTGTTATTATCATTAATGAATATAATTGAATAATTATTCAATCAATAACATTTAAGCTTACATACCAAATGGCGTCAACCAACAATTTTATGAAATAAAAAGTCATTCTGATATTCAAAAACTGTAGTCAAAGTACAACACAACGAAATAAAAAATAGAATGACTTTTTCCGCTTTGTGGTCGTTAAGATGACAAGCTAATATAAAAACATGTCGTGATCACTTTATATCAAGCTGATCAGCTGACTTTTATGTTAATTCGTTTCAGATCTTTATCACAGACATCTTATCCGGCCATGCAGGATATTACAGACTAATGCATAGCACTGAGCAAGCATTGCACTCTGATAGGAACGGATAACAAACAAAAAGAAGTAAGTTATAAGACAAACTCTGAAATCCAAGGGACTCAATATCGATACGCATGACGACACAATAACACAACTTAATATATGAAAGAATACCTTTGGATCCATGATTCGGTTTGAGTTGAATTCGGTTGTTAAGAAAAACCAAACACACCACAGATATTTACTGCAATATAGGCTTTCAACCGTCGACTTTGTCTTGGAATTGTTGCCGAAGGAGCCCAAAATGTGACGAAGCGATTGAAATGCACAAAATATTTGGTAAACAAATCGTAATTAAATGTAGTGTAAATGATACCACTCCAAACTTGCCAAGTTAAAACTATAGCTCGTCTTGCATGTAATRATTAAACAGTAGGCAATTTTAATGTTGTGACATGCTATTTCAAGGCATGTTCAGCTCTGGAGTTTACTCCACTTCCGCCGCCATTTTGGTTGAGCAATGTGTCACGTGAGAAAAAAGCCTTCCTTTCGGGCTGACGTGAGGTACATTAAGGGACAGAATTTGACAAAATCATCGTGGACATTTTCACAAAGAATAACAAAAAGATTAAAGCAATGCTCGGCATTTTTAGAAATAATCCATAATTCTAACTGATAAAGAATTATTGGCAAAGTAGAAAAAACTCACCACAACATGTTGAGGTACAAAATTTGCCATTGTTTCTGACGCCCCCTTGAATTTAGAGCTTCATCGACTTCTACAAAAAAAACAGCAGCAAAATAAATTGAGATAATTTTGCGATCTCAATGTAATATCAAAGATACCTTTCAAAAACATTAAAAAGTGTAGAACTTACGGCACTGAATATTAAGCAACCAACAAGTTTACGCGCAGGAACATAAATATCAGTTGTGTTTGAGCACCTTTAGCTCTCGATTGAGCTGTACTTGATGGCCCTTAACCAAATATGGACTTCAAAATGTGCTGACTAATTTTTCGTACCTATGACATCATTTCAGCTCTAAATATAGATTTCTGCTTCTGCGCAGTGCGTCATAAACAAACTCATTCTGGCTGGAGAAAAACAAAAATCTTTGAAAAAAATATTGCTTTGTAGTTGTGACGTTGCCGTTTTTGCTGAAGGTTCAAGAACTTTCTCGAAGCCTTGGATTACTGTATAAAAGAGAGATTTGAAAATCGAGTAAGCATTTCAAGTTTAAACTGCGAGAGAAGACGTTTATCGAACAGCAAGAATCAAGATGGCACTGTCTGTCAAGGCATACTTGCTCATTCTCAACTCCGACCAACAAGAAATAAGGCGATTTTCTATCGACGATGGAGCGTCGTCCAATTTTGATTACCTACTAACCAAGATTAAAACGGTGTTTCCAGCCATCAGAACTAAACAACTGCGCTTATTTTGGAAAGGTAAGGTGCGCGCACCATGCGTGCAAAAATTGATCTACAAGAAAATTTTGCAAATTCCTCGTTGCCATGTGCAAAAAACTACTGTGCGACAAATCAGAAATGTTTTGCTTCTTGCTTTTCTTGGATTAGTATAAGTTTCTTTTCTTCTATCTCATCTTGACGAATATGACGATGCAACAATTAAGATTTGTAAGYCTTACATTTTAAGTCTTACTTCTTATAAGCTTAACTTATGAACGTTTTGAACATGATAACTASAACATTTATTTCTATGAAGAATATTTCTGACATCGAGATTCCATTTTTTACTGAATTTCCAACAGACGAAGATGGCGAGCTAGTGACATTCAGCAGCGATGAAGAACTAGTCGAAGCTCTTGGCAGCATCCAGGGAGACGTGTTCCGTGTCTATATAAGGGTCAGAGAGGGTCAAGAAGACACCCAAGGTACGTTGTGGATCAATATAAAATACTACTTGATATTAGATTTGATAGAAAAGCTCAAATATAATTTTTTGAGAGCTATTTTGAAAACTCGATTGCTGGAAAAATGCTTGATAAGTGTGAGTCAGCAAAAAACAACAACACGTATCTCTTTTATAACGTTGGCATTTCTATTTTCTTTTAGTTGTTTCTGATTAAACGCTACATATTTCAAAGTCGCTTTTTTTTACTTCAAGTAATATAGAAATGAATTTTTGTCTTTTTATACAGCTAATTAAGAACATTTTTTTTTTATGGTCACTAGCAGAAAATGGTCAGTCACCATCAGATGCAGAGCATGTTGGCGTGGTTTGCGATGGATGCGACCATGGCATTTTTGGTACAAGGTTCAAGTGTGTTGTCTGTCCAGATTATGATCTCTGCATGAAGTGCGAACGAAAGAATTTGCACAAAGAGCACGAGATGTTCAGGATATGTACACCAAGAGCACGTCCAGGTTGCYCAGGAGCMTCCTTCCCATTTTACTTTGCACCACCATCATTTGCCTACCATACCCCAGGCTGCCCTCCAAATCATCCACCAGGATTTGGTCCATGGGGCCGTGGTCGTGGTGGCCACTTCAGAGGTGGTCCTTGGTCTGGTAGAGGACGATGTGGTGGCCCAAGAGGTCGTTGCRGCAAAGCACCTGAGGCAAAATGTGAACAACATAAAGAGAAGACAACAGATTCAAATGAAGTCCCAGTTGGACCTCCTTTTCTTCATGCTATGGGAGAAGCTATTGCCAATTTCCTAGGACCCATGGGAATTGAAGTTCACACATATGCAGACACAGAGAAAGGTAATGCTACAACTAAAAAAGAGAYGACAATCTGTCAATCCCAGACTAGCACTTCAATTTCATTAAACATCCCTTACACTACCATGATATATTGTTTTTCACCAGTATAACACCTGTGCACATATTTCTTTTTGATGAAGGCTTATTATTGTGATTGTACTTGTAGATTGCTGTAAAGGAAAATGTGGTTGTGATCACAAAGAAGACAGGTCTGAAGAAACTGCAACATCACAAGCAAGCACAAGTCAACAACCTGACAACATGGATCTCGACAGCCAATCAACCTCTTCCACCCCCGAAAAGGTACATGTATAATTTAAACAAATCTGTTCATRACTTCATTTAGCATTTTCTTCCCTTGAACACTTCTTTTTTATCTGTAAAAAAAAAACAACAAATGTATTAAATTTTGTACATGTAAGTAACATCTCTCATCGTCTCCAAATTTTGTGTCATCTTGTCCTTGCCCAAAATATAGTTACATGTACCATACTGGATGTTAAAAAGTAACCACAAATTAAATAATGTTGACTATAATTCCTAAATCAAGGGTATCTATTAAACAAACAATCTTTGGTTTTATATTTTATAGACAGAGGAAAATCCGGGAACTGAAGATTACGTCATGGTTGACAAAGAAAAGCAAAAACAGACAGAAAAAACAGATGCAGCTACAGGAACAGTCCCTGAACCTGAAGATCCTCTGGAAGTAGCCATTGCACAGATGCAAGCTATGGGTTTTGAAGACCATGATGGGTGGCTATCACGACTCATTGTTGCCAAAGAATATGACATTGGCAAAGTGTTGGATGCCATCCAATATAACGACAAGAAGTAATATCACAGCACCCTCTGAACTTGCAACTTATTTGATGTGCTTGCTTTGGTCTAATTTGAGTTAAATATCAAAAAGAATTTCAAAAAATGGTGGAAAATACTCTTCCCCCACAAAATAGGAGAAAAAAAAATATGTTCATGTTAATATATTTAATACTTTGCATTGATTTTTGAAATAATCATCAGACATAATTGTATTRTTCAGTGCTATGCGAGCAGTGCCAAATAAAAGATTGAAATTGAATAATTGATAAGTGCCATTTCTTGAGTTGGTTTATAAACTAAAAACAAACTAAAACTAGATTGCTTTAAAAATATCACATTATTAACTTTATTTCACAAAAAAAACCCCTTCATTATTAAAACTACAATGCCAGGACAACTGACGACTGATGYACTGTCTTTCACACACAGAGTACCAAGTACAATGGGACACTCTACAGTGATAGATACATTGTACTTTATGGATTGAAATGTTATTTACACATGTCTGTAGCTATCAAAAATGTCCTTTGACAGGCAAACACTTTAAGAGGTTTCTTTCTTCTCTTCCTCCTGTTCACTATTAACGCCAGAATCTGCTGTCTCTTTGTTCTCATTGTCTTCCACTTTCTGAGCTTCCCCTTCATCTGAGATAGGTGGCAGTTCAGATTCTCCAGCTTCAACTCCTTCTGCGACTTCACCATTTTCCACAACCCCTGATTCACCTGCAGTGCTTGTTTGGCTGTCGGGATCAGGAAGAACTTCATTTCTTGAACTTGGAGTTTCATCAGCCTGATCCTTAACATCTCCAATAAATGYATCAAGTCTTGCACTTTTGAAGTCCAATATTTTCTGAAGATTTCTTTTGTTAATGTCATTCATAGTGGTACAAAATCCACTCAAGACATTGTGTGCACTTGCAATTCCAAGTTGAATGCGAGCATCTTCAGTTACCACTGGGTTGCCGAGATCTTGTGCAATTTCGTATGCTCTCTTAAACATTCTTACTCCATCATAATATTTACCCTAAATAAAAGAGAAAAAATTGATTTACCATAATTGTAATTGGCCCCCTCTGAAATGAGCTGCACCTTTGTATCAGGACAAAACCTTACAACTTACAAACTTGCAAGGAAAAGCATACTAGATCACCTTTTTAAATGTAAAGAATTAGGATAATAATTAAGCAACAAGAAGACAAGAACTCACCAGTGAATTATACATTTCACCCAAGGAGCTGCAAGCACTCTGTTGTTCTGGTAACTGCTGAGCTCTGTCTGCTAAATCTACAAACATTTCCAAGTACTTCATAGCACTTTCTATATCTCCTTGCCTGAAAAAAAAAAAACAAAAAAAAACAACAAACAAACAAAGTTATATTTCATAGATGTTTTCCATAATTATGCAATCTTGTGAATAAATCCCAGCTCCAAAGAAATCACTAAATTCTAATCTTCACTCACTGTATGTATTCACAATAAACAATGATTATAGCTGAGATGTTGGATTAACTGCAGTAGCAGATAATGATAAATACTCCAGTTTTGAGATCTTATTTGTGCAACTCGGAAGCATGTAATATATTATTTTATTCAACAGAGAATCTATTTTAATGCAAACAGTCTGGGTACAAAAAAAAAAACACAATAAAAATTTATGCTTGATTGAAGGTAAGCTTACACAAAAGAGAATTCAAAACTGGAGTTATTGTTATTCTTAGACTTACATCTCATAAGCTCTTGCCAGTGCCTGACAAGCTCTTCCCATTCCAACATCATCTTTTAATAGTTGACACTTGTCTAAATATCCATTATGATACTAGAAAGAAAGGTGTAACAGTAAGGTGTCAATGCAATGTTTCTACCAAACTCTGATATCATTCTGTGTAATCATCATCATCATCATATTTCCATTGTAATAATGATGGTGATAATTATGATATCATTACCCTGCAATGTACACTCAATGATTGGCGGTTATAAATACAGTGCTTCATCCCATATAGTTTTCCTCTTGCCATTTAAATTAAACCTTTATTAATAATAAAACTCTAATATATATGATGGGAAAATATACAGTAGATGGCATCTTCTGTACCGACGTAGAACTGCATTTAATGTTACTATTAAGAATAATAATAATTAATGTTCATAATATCATCAAACGAGCAAATTGTTTGTAGTTTTCAATAAAATCATTATCAAATAATCCATTTACAATTAACATAAAATCGTATCAGAAGATACATGATATCAAATGACTTTGATTACCAAAATTGCTGTTTCTGGRTCTTCCACTTCTTCATACGCCATACCAAGTCTGTAACCAGCAAGTCCCTCTTGTTGACCTTCTCCACCTATAGTAATAACATCAAGCATTGAGTTCATTTCTTTCATTTGAGAGCAAAGGGCAGTGCCTTTTTTGGTGATAGGTGGAAATAGAAAAAAAACTTACTTTCTTTTGCCATTTCATATGCTTTCAGCAAAAAGTTAATTGWTCCCATCATGTCTTCCTCTTTAAGCTGTTAAAAAATAATTTTTCTAATTTATTACAATTTAMAGTTAGGCCTCCACTATTTACTCATAAATGGACTTAAACAATTCTCAAAGGAGAATCCATATCATCCAATATTATGGAAAATGTTTTCATAAAATTTCTGATAAACAGATTTATTTACCCCATCTGCTATTGCTGTATGGACTCGTCGCAAGTTTTCGCAGGCRTTTGAGTGCAGAATTTCACCTTGGTCATTCTGCCAAAGTCTTCCTTTGGTAAGGTTGTAAAATGATTCAAAATACTCAACGGCTTTAAACAGTTCTCCTGTGGATATAAAAAATCATTGGGTCAACAAAAGAAAAAGAAAAAATCAAGGAGAGTGTGCATATTTAAATCATAATGGAAAGAGAATAAAAAGGAAATTTAATGGGTATATTTATTTTTTTTTTATTTAATTGGATGGAAAATGAAAACAGGAAGTAAAATACATGATAATGGGAAAATCARAAAAACACCCGCAGCGCTATCTACTATAGCTTCCCAAATTCTTACCTTCCTTCTCCCAAGCAAGACCCATGTTACAATTTGCTTCAGACTCCTTCTTTCTCCCATCTCCTCGGATCTTTAGGCTTGTTTTCAAACAAGAGTCATAAAAATGGTTTGCAAGCCATGCATCACCTGACTCCTCAAAGTATCTTGCCAGAGATAAAAGGCTATGGTAAACAATGTCCATTTTACCTTATTAGGGATAAAAAAAGGTAGTAAGTAAGAATAGGCATGTAAAAAAGAGGAGGTTGAGAGCTTGGCTTGTCCGAGGCTTGACATGTTTGCAAGTGAACATCAATTCACTAAATGCTGGTGAAAGCTGGTTTGGGTGACAATACTTAAAATGGTTCTTAACATATCGATTTGCCCCACAGTATTTCTAAWAGAAAATCAAAGTTGTCGCTTTTCACTAGTCAAGGACTATTAAAAATAGACCTTGTCCAATTATTCCTATTACATATAAAAAATAACACAGAAACTGGCCAATTCTTACCTCTTCTTCTGGCAGCTTCAGATGTTGTTAAATGATGCTTCAATTGATCTAATTTATCAGGTTCATCCTCTAAAAGGGGATGATCAAACATCCCTGAATTACGGCCAAGTTTTTCTCTATCTTCTTTTTGTTTACTCATTAAATTAAAAAGCTCACAGAAAGACTGGTGATAGCCATCTTTTAACATATCCAGGCAGAGGTTGTGTTCATATGTGTTACGATATCTGGAAAAAATTGAAAGTTATTCATGAAACACAAACTATACATGCATATTCAGTACTTTCAGAGAACAATGTGTCTGTCATCTTGAATCACTGTATTATAACTCCTAAAGGAATTACATGTAAAAATGGTCACCTAAAATCAAGATGACACACAGAGCAGTGAAGGGAATTATTCAGTTGTGTAAAAAGCTAAATTAAACACCSTAAAAAAGTAGAGAAGTAACTTCTACTACTTGTGTTTAATTTATCTTTTTTACACGACTGTTTCTTTAGAAACACTGACSCAGCTCACACTAGTTTACCGCTAGTTCCCACCAAGGGAATTATAATTTCATCTGAACATGGGTGTATATAAATACAAGAATGATGTTCGTTTTGTTTGTTTCTCTTTTCAAATACAGTACCTTGCTGTTTCTATTTTTTCATAGTTTGTWGATTTTTCACTGGAGCTTTGCCCTGCTCTAGAACTTCCTTCACTTTTATAAACAGCCCTGGTGCGCATGACTGGACTTCCCAATGAYCCCATTTTCGATGGTGGTGATGGCACKTGTTTGATGACCTGCTGGGTTACYTGACCACCAACTTTTAGGGCAGGTAATGAYGTTACAGTRGTCATGATTGCAGTGATTTTCCTAGAATGACAATAATATTTGCAGATAAGCTTCAGCATAATCAAAGTTAAAAATAGCAACTTTTAACACTGAAAGTTTCGATTTTCTCAACACTAAGRCACCTTATTAAATCCATATGTAAGTGTCAGTATAATTTAAGTTAAAAAGATAAGATTCTTAAAGATTTAATTTCATGTTATAAGATCAGAACGACACATATGAAACCACAAACGTTCATGACACCAAAACCCACACAAAATAAAGTGAAGAAATCATCTTAACGAAGATTTTTTGACACATTTCAACACACAGGTTACCTTTTGACACCTTAAAAATCTTTTTTACAGAATTGTTGGTCTCAAGGCTGGCTGAAATAAGCTTGAAAGTTCATGTTATTTCGGCATGAACATCAAAAACCGCCATTTTGTTGTGGAAAGCGGGAATTATTCGACGTCACTACCATGGTAACCGAACCTTCCTCRTACAAACAAATTTTGAAATCGAACATTCTTCGGCTTTTCTTCGGYAAAATGTCGGAAGTCCTAGGAAGAAAATATAAATAAAAATGATAAAGAAATGATATTTTAATTTATTACAACGAAAAGTCGACAAATTGCATTTTTTTTTTCAATTGTGTAGGATCAAAATTTTTGCATTTTGATTTTTTTTAATTTCCTTTGAAATGATTCATTGGTATAGTGAATTACATATTAAAAAGATTCTCAAAGTAGTCAAGCATCAAAAAAACAACTTGCGGAAATTTGGAAGCACCAACAATTGTCCAAAGAAGGAAAAAAACAAAGTACTTTGGTCGAACACTAAAGTCCGAGGAATCCCCGAAATAAAAAGACATGACGCAATGTCATACGATCGATTCGAGCGTTCTGATTGGTTAATGGACTGATATGATGAGCCAAAAGCTAGAAGGCCATCCAAGATGGCTGGCCGAAACAACGAAGAATGGCGGACTTTCTTGAACGGTTCTGGGCAAGATTACGAACCGAATCTTAACAGAACAGCAAATATGGATGACAATATAGATGATATCAATGGTAAGTGCGATTTTTCAATGGATTYGTTGTTTTTTCGTGCAAAAAATTCACTTGTGTTACCTACTTTGTCATTCACCAAATCCATCATCAGCAATGCTTTCTGTTTATACTTCCTTTTGAAACTTGCTTTACCCCACTGTCTTTCCGATTTTCTTCAATAAGTAAATTTTCTTCATGATAAATTGTATCTATTTATTAAGTAAAAGTTCGCTTATTTCGCTGAGATTTAGATCAAAAAGTTCGTTTATACCAGCCTTTTCTCATTGCACCACATCTTACAGACAGTTTTCAYTGCAAAGCTACATAACTTGTGTCACATGTCGGTACATTTTTTCTTTTGGTATCCATTTTTCTTTTAAGAAAACTTGAAAGTGTCTTTGTTGTACGTGTTTTTGTATAAACAATCAAAGTGCGAAATTTTACTATATTTTGTACATGTTTGTCATAAGTAAGATTTAAGAGGGTTTTCACCCTTACTTTCCACCTGTGTTTATTTTTATGGGAAAAATATGTTTTCTATAGCTAAGGTCTAAATCTTGTGAAGATTTGAACGTAACCTTTGTGTTTAGATCTGCATGACTGTCACATTGTGTTTGTCACAATACAAGTCACAAATCAAATGCAGGTCACTGTAAGGCTTTGCCCCTCTACAATCCAAACAAGCCCCRCTTTCCCTGATAACGTGGTATGGACAGACCAACAGCAAAATATCAACCACCCAWCAACAAAAAACAACACAGAAAGGGCAAAAATATTGATGAACAACAACTTTTATAAAAAGCATAAAAACATTCATTCCTTCATAATACAAGATTAGACAATAACAGAACRTTTTTCTTAATCGTTTCAGATATTTTTTCATACATTTACCAAGATGAGGGTAACCAGGAAAATGGACCCTATGCCAACATCAAAACAGAACAACTCACACCTCCCTACACTCCACCTGATTTGATGGAAGGAATCAATGATGATCCTGTCAATGATAGCTTGGATGGCCTCCTGAAAYTGGASGCCATGGAAGGGTTTTCATCACCTCAAGATGATTGCTTCCTGGAGCAAAACCCAGTAGTAACCAGCTCAGAAGCTGTGTCTGGACAGTTCTTACAGACCTTGTTGACACAACAGAGTGTTAATAATACACAAATAMAACAACCAAGTATTACTAGTCAACCACGACAACAGCAAAATGTTACAGATTCTACTTCTCTGCTTGAGATTCTTCAAAGACCTAAAATGTCTCCTGTGACAGGAAGTGTTACTAGTCAACCGATTGTCACCTCTCTTCCTCAAGATAATCAGCAGGTGATTTAGAGATTTATATGACATTATTTCAGATGTGATACCTATGTAGTATGGTATTATATTATGTAGATGAATTCCAACGCACGCTCTGATTGTCCAAAAAAGTGTGGTTTATGAGAGTATAAACCACAATTGTGCTCAAAAAAGATTTTTGATCAAAATCTATATAATAAAACAAGTAAATAAGGCTCAGCCTGTGGGTTTATACTCTGATAAACGCACGCTTGGCATTTGAAACWCAAGAGAAAATGTCRAGAAGCATGAGCTGAAAGCGAGTGTGTTTCAAATGCCAAGCGTCCGTTTATCAGAGTATAAACTACTGCTGAGCCTTATTTATTTGTTAAATAATGAGTGTTCTTATACTTAGTCAGTGCTAATGATACAATAGTTTTAATGAAATGATAAATAGTTATATATATTTATTGAAAGATTGGCAACATTGCAGTATACTTCATCACTTTAAATAAATAGCAAAAGTGTAAAATATTGAAATTGAATGATTTGTCCATGCATTGTCATCATAAACATCAATATTATTTACTCATTGTTGTCAATATTCACTAGTGGTCATTGTTATTATGATTATTGTCAATGAAGGCAAAAAATACTTGATATAAATTGCCAGATACTGTGTAAGTACTAGTACATGTATGTGAATTGTTCAAAGTTATTTTAGTCTTGCAACATGACCACATAATTTGGTACATCATAGGAAATGTTTATTATTGACATTCCTTCTTCCTTGTTCATTACTATAACAGCAACCGGCATTGAACAGCAATCAGCTTCAACTATTAAAAATGCTTTTGAAATACCAAGACAAGCAGAAGCAAGAGCTTCTACAGCAGCAGCAATTTCAAACTCAAACACTTGCCAATCAGAAGAAACAACTTGAGCAGCTACTAAGCTCTTTTGTAGCACCAACATTAACACAACCTCAAGTACAGACACAGCTTCAAGTACCAGCCCAGCCTCAAGTGCAGACACAGGCCCAAGTACAGCCATCTTCCTCTGTACCATCTCAGGTTGCTATAACCAGTCCTGTTCAAATGCAGTCCCAAGCTCTTACTAGGTCTGTTCCAACACCACCAGCAGTAACCACATCAGGTTTTCCATCAATGCCATCACCAAGTTCAACATGCTCAGTTGGAAGCCCAGTGTCTGCTGATATTCAACAAATGTCTCCCCAAGCAATGTCATCATCAGGGTCTTGTGTTTCTTCAAACCCAAGCTCTCCTCAGCAGCCCCTGTCTCCTCAGTCTCCTCCTCAGACAAGTGCACCACAGCAAACATATCAACAGGTATGCAGCTGTCAAAGTGAATGTAAATGTTTACACCATGTTTGTTTAGTATATCCTGTATTTTTATTTTTGTGCAAAATTCAGTACAGAATGGTACAAAATACAGTATCTTGAATGCTTATATGTACGAGAAGAATTTTTGAAGAAGTTCATACAAACCTTGTTGATAATTCTCGGCAAATAGACATGGACTAACATAAAAAATTCTGGCTTTTACAGTATTTTACAAAGCATTTTATATAATAGGCTAATTATATGATAACAAAGAGGCAAGATTTGCTCATCAGACAGTATTTAATGGGCCAATTATTTTTTTTAGTTTTATTATCATTATTATTACCATTATCATTGTTTTTACTATTACTACTATTATAATTATCATTATTTTTATTACTTATGTATTATTTATTATTATTTATTTTTATATTATTTTATTTCCGTAAGGTTTTCCATATGCCTCAGTTGGTACAAGCTAATGGTAGCCAGGTGATTACTATTCCTGTGGTACTTGATAAGATACCAATTAGTAAATTAGCTCCTGGGAAGCAAGAAGGAAATGGAAAGCCTATCACTCGCACTAACCACAATGCTATAGAGAAACGCTACAGAAACAGCATCAATGAAAAGATTCAAGAAATGAAGGATTTGGTTTGTGGGACAGAAACCAAGGTGTTTACTATAGATTTACCTGCATTACATCTTTTCCACCATCATCATTAATTGYACATGACGTTTGGTATTAATGTTAATTATTATAATATATTCTTATGTTAGATGCACAAGGCAGGGATACTGAAGAAAGCTCTTGACTACATAAAATATCTTCAGAAAGAAAATATTCGTTTAAAAGATGAGAATATGTCACTGAAGATGGCACAACAAAAGCAAAGTAAGAATCATTTGTACTTTCTATCCAAATAATCGTTTTTAGGACTAGGCAGGCATGTCGGAATTATGCGCGAAAAAAATCAAAATTATGCGGAATTTTTTCCCCATATTATGTGGAGAAAAGGGTGAATTATGCGGAAAATTATGCGGGATGACGTCATCACAGGAACGTAAACTTTGGTAAATTTTACATATATTTAGGTTATTGTGTTTGTTTTTCATGCAAAACTCCGTTTTTATCTTAGTTACGAAGTACAGAAGGCAGTACCAACAGAAGGAAAGATCTTTTTAGACTTTTTTGTTCTCGCACGCTTTACATCTCACTTGTATCATACGCCATATTGGAATTTGTCACGTGATCTAGTAAGGCACAGGGTGACCAGTAATGCTAGTGCCCAGACTCTTTTCTGATGAAAGTTTGAACGCCTGGTACATTTGTGAAGCCCACGAAAACAAAACTATATTCGGAAAATTATAAGCATGTTTGGGAGCGTTTTTTGATCAAAAAAACAGTCAATGGACCACAAAAAACATTAGTAGAAGGCAAATTATCTTAAAAAATGGTATAACATGGGGAAAAAACACGAATTATGCGGGATTATGCGCGATTTGGTAAATTATGCGGAAAGGGGGCAATTATGCGCGTCCGCATCCGCGCATAATTCCGACATGCCTGACTAGGATATAATATTAGAAAAGGACACTCGACAGGTTCAATTAGAATGTATAGTTTGGTTTTCTCAAAAAATTGTGGACAATATTCARTTGCACATTCACATCTGAAGAAGAGAACTTGCTTGCTTATTTTTGATATTGAGGGCTACAAATGTCAACCACCACTTCTTGATTCTGATTGGCCAGCTTCAATCAATCAGTCATKTAAGAGATCAGCATTGACTTCTTGAAGTCCTAAGAGGCAGGGTTCCCGRTTGAAACCCTTTATACWTCATTAACTCAAAGTAACTTTTGTTTCCAATATCAAAGTGCATTGTTTCTTGTAACAGACACCATCTCTGAAATGATGAAGAAGCAGGAAGAACATCAAGAAAAGACATCCCAGTCACATGACACCACAATGCCAAACAAAAACCAACAGCCAAGTACAACACCTATGCCTCCCAAGTCTGTCAAGATTGAGAATCTTCCTTTCAGCAGTTGCGGCATGCTGGACAAAACTCGCATTGCTTTGTGCACATTCCTGTTTGCATTTCTTCTTGTSAGCCCTCTGAATTACGTGTTGCCRAACCTTTCACCAAGTGAGTTCCTTATAGAAGCTGAAGAATATTATTAAWATTCTTTGTAGTGATGATYATTATCGTGTTTCATCTTTCCATTTTAGATTTGCCACTTTCTGGTGGAGCAGATTATCAGTCTACTCATACTGGGAGCAGAACCCTCAACTCTCTCAGCACGTCTTATGATCCATCAGTAGTCATAACATGGGCAGTTTTATTCTCTTTAAAATGGATTGTTAACGTCATTCTCATCATTGCCGTCCTCGTGCACATYTTTATCTTTGGGGAGCCTGTTACAAGGCCTCATTCTGAAAGGGCWGTGCTGTTTTGTAGGCATAAAAACCAGGCTAACATCGACTTGGCAAGGGTATGTTTGTACATCAACAATGCTGTGCAGTTTGTCTGGCTAATGTCTAAATTAATCAATAATAGTGTTCAGAAATCAAAATAGAGTGCAATGAGTCCTGCTGAATATCATACTTGACCATTACTCCTAGCGTTTGTTAATAGAAAGTGTCTTGTATATTGTATAATAATGTAACTAATTTAATCTTTTTATCACAGGGAGATCATATATCAGCTGCCAGAAATCTCGAGATTTGCCTTCGTATCCTGGGACGGCCGGTGCCCACATCTAAACTCGATGTATTTTGTGGGTTTGTGTGGCACCTGCTCCGTCATGTTCTTCATCGCCTGGGAATAGGTACATGGCTGGCATCAACAGGGTGTGGGGTCTTATTTCGGAAGGCCAATGAGAACATAACAAAGAATTATGACAAGATAAATGCACGTGATGCAGCGCTTGTCTGCCATAAGTTACATCAACTAAGTCTTACTGGTAAGAAWGGGGGATATAGTGTTGATAATAATAGGAATTATGATTCACTACTTATTYGCTTATAAGAACCTGCAATTTAAGAACCTGTTAGGCCTGAATCSAAACAGGTTCTTATAGAAAGGTTCTTATAGAAATTAACCTCAAAAATCTTCATTAAAAAACATACTCAAACTGTAATGAACTTGAACATGTACAGTATACACTTCTAAATTTGGTATAAAATAATGTTTGAAAACCTTATAAATTAATTCCATTATGTAAGAGATAAATAAGAACCTATATTTAAGAACCTGCGTAGCCTAAAATTCCACTAAGCACCATTTACATAGGAACCCATTTAGGCTAAATTTGAAAAAATAGGTTCTTATAAGCAGGTAAGTACTGTAGCTATAATGATAAGAGTAGTCGCACTAGATCAACTAAAAACACTTCTTCAATCAGGGCATGTACCAAGGGGCTACTGGCGTTCATCAGTGCTGGGTCTGTCTGCCATCAATCTAGCAGAGGCAGCTGGGGACTTTGTTAGTTCTGAGATGAAATCACAGATATAYGTGACAGCTGCCATTCAGATAAGAGCCAGTCTTCCTGAAGGATTGCACTTTGCTGCAGTAAGTTTAAATACATCTATTGGAGTATCCATTGTCTGTGTAATTAGCAGAGCTACATAATAATAGAGCTGTATAATAATGTCTAGATAATAATCTAAGGCAGTTGTTGTGTTGAACTTTTGTATTGTTTTTTTTTTTTGCATAATTTGTAATGAAGTGTTTTTTATTTTTCTTGTAACTTAAAAATATTACAATTTCAATGTGTGTGGGATTCATAATTTAAGAATAACAGCTTCATATGCATCCAAAAAAAGATACTTTATTATACACTATTTATGATTTACTCTGCTACATTAAAGGAAACACTGTCTTAATATTGAATAAAGTAAGACTACATGTATGACATTTTCTCTTCTGTTATTCATCTTTGCAGCGTTATTTTCTGGCTTGTGCACGAAATACATGTGCTGGTGCTACTATTCCCCAGCCATTGCAGTGGTTATTCCAGCCACAAGGACACAGGTTTTTTGTCAGTAGCGATTGGTCATGTGATGGAGGGGATTCTATGTGGGCCACAGTGGCTAATGAAGGTATTAATAATTATTTTAATCATGACAAACATTATTTTTACTATTGATTTCCACAGGGTCAATGCCATTCTTTGGAATCCTTGAAAGTCCTAGAAATAAAAACATTTTTAAAATTAAGAAAAAAACCCTATAGCTCCTGGAACACTCATTAAACTGGATACAATCTACAGTGTTGTTTTAAGTATCTGAAAATATTTAAGAAAYAAAAAAATTGAAATTCTGGAAACAATGAAATGCAATCAACTTGAAAAATGGTCCTTGAAAATTGACTAATTTTTGTGCTTAAAAGAATTACTTGAAAAGTCCTGGAAGTTTGTGATAAAAAAATAACACAAACCCTGATTTCTCATGAAAGTATTAGCWTCACATCCCTTCAATTTCTTATTTCCTTCTTACATAACAACAWTTCAATATTTGTGTTTTTAAGCTGATCCTATTGCACATGTGAGCAAAGCGTTTCGTGAACGCCTTCTGAAAGAAGCCCTCTCCGCCATTGTGCTTCCAAAGGACAAGTCYAGTGACAAGAAAGTCACTCAGAATGTCAAAGACAGCTGGGTGGATGCATTAGCTTACCTGGACATCATGAATGTCTGCGCAGAGGCAACAGAGGAACCAAAAGAAGGAGGAACGTATGTTCTTGGGAGCAGTAACCTTCCTATTCACAGTAGAGACGATGTAGGGAAGTGGTGGGCTGCAGTAGGGATGGTAGCTGTKCACTGGCTGCGTGGAGATGAAGAAGCTGCTGAGAGACTRTACAGTACTGTTGGTAGTGTTCCAAAGTCCTTGTGGAATGCAGAGTATGTACAAGAAATCTTTTAATAATGATGATTAAGGCAGTTAGAGCTAATTAAATAATTGAATTATTAATTTAACAAGGTCATGAAGGGTATTGATGAGATCAGTGATCAGCATTATTATGAGATCAGCGATCAAATTTTTAGGTTTGGGATCAGAACTCCCAGAGACTGGGAATCGGATGGGGATAAGGATCACTCAATTTTAGGACATCAAGGATCAAATCCTGACCTAAAAATGGGATTGTGAGCATAAAAAAACCTGTTTTAACGTTGAACATTTTTCCATAACAAGTGCAGAGTTTCTTAATATACTTTCAAATTCATGCTACTGTATACATTTCAAAGTTTAATACTACTTTCTTATCCCAGAGATCCATTGGCCAAGGCAATTTTGAGATCATTCAAAGCCAGAAAASAGATCTTCAGTATCAAGAAAGTACCCAAAGAAACTCTAGACGAATGCCTTGACCTGTGTGATAAAGCAGGGTATAAACTAAGAGAGAGCATCAGTGTAGCATCATACAGAAGCACTGATAAGCTCCACAAACTCGCTCAGCTATTATGTTGTGACTGGCTTCTAGCCACACGCACAGACATCTGGCAAAAGACATGTGGACAACATGAACAGTTTCCAAGTCCTGTTGACCCCGTGGAGTTGTTAGCMTTCCAACATGACTGGGAAAGTTTACAGAAGGTTACTAATGATGTTCCGGCTGCACTGCCCAGGGTATGGATTTCCTGTGTTATTGTTTGAAGGACTGGAAACTAATATCGGTAGATTAACTCACTAAAAGTCCAAAACAATAGAATAGCCTTCTGCCCCAATCCCCTTCGAGAGAGCAATGCGAGAAGAACCACTGTGTATTGTTTGGCCTGTAAGACAATTTTGTCAAAACGATATAGGAGTGCCTATATTAACAAATTGAGTCATAAATTATAATTATTTGTTTTGACATAGGGAGCAGTACTTTGGTAGTAATCAAACAGGACAGCGTTTTTGAATACATTTTGTTATTTTATCATTGTTTATTATTATAAAATACTCTCCTATTACACTGGGTAACTACATACAAACTCTCTTTTATATTATAACAGCTCTACCTCTATGAGGCTGTGTCAAGACTGATGGCTGGAGCAAATCCTACCCAGACACAACAACTGCTGGAACGTAGTTCACTAAGGCAGCGTTTTGCCATGAATGGTCCCGGCTCGGACATTGAAACATCAAAATTAAAGGMTGTTGGTGAGTGTGTATTTCTTGTTTTGTATATTGTTGTGGTTCACGGTGCACTTGAAATCGCGCAAATCAAGGAATTRGAAATTTGAGGTTGTTAGCTATTGTAGCTCCAGGTTGTTGGCGTACTTGTAGATTTTATCTAATAAACCATCCRTCAAAAACTGTACATGAATCTCTTCCAACTTGGGATTCATTTTCATGATTCTATTAGTGACTTTGCTGTTTKCTKAAACTGAGGCACWGTACTCTCTCTTCCAGTTTGCTGAACTCAAAATCCYGTCTAAATAATTTAGTTGTATTGTCTGGTGTTAACACCTCAATAGTCTACAATTATTAATTCTTCCATTTATTCCAATTGTATTTATTTCTAATTATTACAAAATCCTCTTTAGATAACTTGGAATGTGTGACWAGCGAACATGAACGAGCCACAGCGCTGATGTTGGCCTGCCGTCACCTCCCAGAGCCTTTTTTATCWGCCCCAGGCCAGCGTAAAGGCATGCTCGTAGAAGCAGCCAGCTCWCTGGAGGGCATGGGCGATAAACGCACACTTCAGGACTGTCAACAGCTATTACTGCAGTTAGGTACAATGACAGACTCRTAGCACTGGGGAATTCCTTATTACAGGAATATAGAATTATAAATAGACTATTTGCAGGAGGAGCCGACGGGGTCTGTYCTTCTAAATAACTTTTCTTGTACGATTTTTTTCCTGGAAAGGGATTTTGAGCTACATTGTTGACAAACTCAAAAAACAAAAAGGCTTTTTTTAGTTATGAAATTTTTATTTTCCTGGCAAACATTCTTAGAAAGTATCCCTTGCATAGAAAGTTCTTTTTTTCCTGAATTTCTCGCTGGCAAGCAGTTGTGACTTACAGCTGGCTGGGACATAAGAACAGATATATTTCTCCCAGGAACCCGTCGGCTCCTATACTAGAGTAACTACAGAAGGCATCATGTTAAGTTACCTTATAAGAATAATGCTGTGTTATGGTAACAAAAAATATACTCCAGGAAAACGTCAAGTCAACTCACAAAGATATTGGTGAATGTCACGTGATTTACTCGCCATTTTTAAATGGGAATGAATAGAATACTCGTGTATTGTTGGTGGTTGGTGACGCCTGGAGTCCAGAATCTATTCCCAACAGTGTATACCAACCGTTCCCATTCCAGACTGGTTAAAAAACGCCCATAGATACACATTAGTAGCCATTATAGAGTCAATTTCGTATGAGTGGGAAACGTACGGTAGAAATTACCACACAGTTACCGGACCTGGCCTGCACAATTTTTGTGAACCAGTGGGGCACTAGAATTTGGTTACAGTGCGATTACGGTCACAGTACAGTACCGTCCGTTCCCCACTCATGCGAAATCCGCTCTAGTTTATTTTAACTGTAGAACGTCATACTACAACGTACTTTATATTATCCATAGAACGCGGTGTTATAACATATTTATCCTTAGGTAAGTCATTTAAACAGAGTGAAGGCAAGAAAGTCATGAATTCTTTTTTAGTGTATCGCTTGAATTTTTTTCTCGCTCAATATAACCTTGGCAAAAAATTCTCTTATTAAAAAAATTCTCTTATTAAAAAAATAGATTATTTCAGTTCGGAGTGGACTTTATTTGTCTAATGTATTACATTTTTTTGTAGTTTCATTTTTATATCGCGACTTACTTGCAGCTAAGATTGTATTTTGAACTTTCTGAGTTCCCGAATTGTAACACGGTTTTTAGTTGGATTCTAGTTGTACGGAGGCATAGCTGGTACAGCTGGTATCTTATTTTGAATTGTACAAGTCATACCTATACTAGTTGGATGCTGATAATATTGTAAATATCATTTTTTTTTTCAGATAACAATTACTTATTAATAATCAATATTATTGATTAATAATTATTAGTCATTAATAATTAGTATAAACATTCAGTCATATAGCAGCTACTTACAACTATATATCAATATAAAGAATACATATTTCAAAAACTGGTGCCCAGGATCCAGAAAATTTGACTCAAGCTGAGGTCATTTTTGGCGAAGAAACCTGGACATGATAATAAGCGCGGCTCCTGTTGAGCCAGTCAAACAGTCGTGGTCCTCAATATAGGGAATATACACCGTAAGGCTACAGCTGTTTATCGATTTAGTAAATAAGAATAGTAAAAAAAAACTTAAATGTGGAAAAGACATAAAGATGCAGTAAAAATATTGTAAAACATAAAAACCATCTTAATCATATATACTGATATTATTTCGTAAATAAAATGTTTTAAGTTAGAAATGAAACATGTTTGATTGGATCGAATGCGGCCAAAAATGATAATATTAAAGAAGAGAAGAGAAGAAAAGAAGGAGAAGAGAAAAGAGAGATTACAAAACGGTCAACCATCCGAGGGAGGTGATTAGTCGGTTCCTAGTCCATACGTCATTCTGGTATGCATGTCTTTTTTCAAGGTACAATCATTGTAATCTATTAGGTGCGCGGGCTGCCTTGGTTTTGAAACCTGTAAAAGAGCGTACGTTTGCTTGCATGAGTATACCGGACTTCTAAAGTATGATAAACATTTCAAATTTTCAATAAAAGTCTTGTGTAGTAGTCTTAAAAGATGAGTAATCCTGTATCGGGACAAAATATATCGCACAACTACAAAAAGATTTTCAAAATATCGATCTTCATCTTGTCAACATCCTGGGCCCTGATTGAAGTAATATTCTTTTCGCACGAAACTCGGAGTACAGCAAATTAAAGTGCATATATGGGTTCAGCAATTTTGGTTTAAAATAAAAGTGTCATGAATTATGTTTGGTGGGTTAAACTCGAAAAAAACATTTTTTTAGTGTCATTTTCAAGGCCTAAAAGTGCTAAAAATGCCCGTTTTGGGCCTCCTGTGCCAAARTTTTGGAGCGATGCATGACGTCATTCACGGAACTCGTCACCCAGAACAATATTGTTTCCAGTCATTTTCCAGTCAAAAAACTATCAAAATTCTATTTAATTCCGTACACTATATGTGTATTGAGCACTCTTAAATGGGGTCAGCTACTTCCTCATATGATTAAAAAGCCTGTTTCATGAATGATTTTTTTTGGTCCCACATGGCAGACCGGATCACCGAGTGGCTTGGTATAAATGCTACAGGTTGTGATGTATTTCTAACACAAGGAGTTAGTCATTAGTGCTTAGGGTCCGGCTAATTTCCTCCCTCATAGGTGGACCGGGTGCCCATCCAACTGCGTGATGGGTGCCTTTTTTTTAATATTTATTTTTATTTATTTCTTCTCTGGAAATATTTTTTTAGCTTACAATGTAATTGTATTGTAAAATAAAATGCTAGTARTACACATTTATTTTTATGCCCCTTTAATATTCTCCCACAACCAGAAGTGAAATTWTGTACTGTTTAATAAACAAGCAGAAGCCCATGTTAAACTAAAAACCAATCAAAAATTCAGTGTGTCTCGGGTGTGGCTGGAGTTACAAGGACGTGATCAAACTAATGCAGCATTCAATACTGTAACAACTTTATTAATAATCAAAACATATTTACATAATGATAATTGGAATTAACAAGGTTTATCTTTATACGACGTAAAACTTGTTTTGGGTAAATTTACCACTTACTTAAAATAACTCAATCTGAGTGTAACTTTAAAATGTTATGTTATGATACAATTGGTCAGATAGTAATCGGTTCCTAGGCGTTGGATATCTAAGTACACTAATCCTCAGTATGTATTTTTTTCGTTAAAACGAGTTGCCTGTCCTCTTTTCGGGAAAACTTGTCACCTGGGAATTTGACGCACTCATGTGACAAGGTATCATGGGTACTCCAATGGACAAATTTTCCTTAAAATGAGGTTTATGTCTCATCCCGGCACTGAAAAGACTACAATGGATAATAATATCATAATAATGCTAGGTTTCTGTAGAACATCAATATGTATGCCCRCAAATATATAAGCCTCTTTTCAGAGTGAATAGCTAATCATAAAAAGCGTAAAGTCTGAGACCGAAAGGCAACAAGGGATGATGAGTATTAATGAAATATCAATTACACTCCAGCTAATAGCGACTTAAAGCTACAACTAAAACTATTTTGATCTACAAATGCTCGCAAGTACGATATTAATTTATAGTTATGTTATTTTCCATGAAGTCCTTGGGTCTCTGCTTGACGTTTTATGATTTTTTACATCACAACTATAGTTCAATGTATTCAGCKTTCCCCCMAAAAAATAACTACTTGTTGACACTGATCTTATTCACAATATTCTGGTCAAGTGACCATAGAGCAACTAAACAGAAACTAATACAGTGCGAATTTGGCTGGTTTCGAGGATTGGAATGCAAAACAATGGATACAATCTTTTTTCTTKTCCACCCGTGACGTCACATGCTAGGGATGCTGTCGCACGGCTTCCATATATGGATGTACATACACAGGGCTTTGATACTTTGAAGACGGTGCATTAATTTAGTATAGGTTATATAAATACCGCAAAAAATCATGACTTAATGGCAAAATATAGAGATTGGCAATACAAAGCACTTGGTTTGAATCTTCATGCTCTCCGTTTAAAATTTCTTTTAGTTTTTATAAGTTCTTCTCATATGTACATGATGTATATGTGTGTCATATGTACACGAGAGCGTTCTGTGTTACATCAGCGCCGTGTTTGTGTACAACCATATATGGAAGATATCCTTCTTTAAAAATGATTACCCCCACGGCTTGACTCGAAAAAAACGAACATCTTCTGACGACGTTCCATACTTGTTCGTTGCAGTGCATTTGTAGACGGCATTTATTATAAAACCTGGAATATACACTGTGCTGGACATACCATCTTTTGCATAGGTCACGTGATGTTTAGGGGGTGTTGCAATATCTAACCACTTGGTTTGGTAGCTTCCTAACTTCAACATAAAAGTCCACTTGAATTTTGGTGGCGGGTTCCCTTTAGTAGCCTTACAAGTTAAGGGATATATCTTGGTATCATATCTGGCGACCTTATGAGCTGTAAAATAAACTTTTGGTGGATCTGCAAGAATAAAGGATATTATTAATTTCTAGTGTTTTATATATCATATATGAAGAGAATATTAACTGACTATACTAGTATTTTTCAATTTTCTCAGTCGTTGCACCACAAGTTGATGGAAGATGTGTTGTTGTTGTTGTTGTTGTTGTTGTTGTTGTTGCGCAGCAAAAGAGTATGTTTAATCCAATGGCAACTTTTCCCGCAATTTTCGAGTCTCGGACGTTGCTAAGTCTGCACCTTCCGTAACATTCAAGAATATTCATAATAGAAAACACTATAAATTTGAAACCCTATCTAGGTGAAGTTAACAAATTGTCATGACTCTTTTTCAGTCCTTATTTTAAACTTCTAGTTGGTGYCACTATGTCGCATTAGCATGAAACTGATACTGTCTATCAACCCACCTGTAACGACGACATCAAACGTCTTTGTCACAGAACCAGCGACATTTGTAGCCTTGCAAGTGAACGAGACATTATCCTTTGGGAATGTGGCTGAGACAATGTGCAGTCCTTTGTTTGTTTTCAAGTAGGGCTTATTGGCACAAACATGAGTGAACATCACTTTACAGGTTGATATTGGAATACCATCCTTTTCCCATGTCACAGTGGGCGTTGGATTGCCAGCGGCAACACAGTCGAGATCTGTCGGTTTTCCCCCTCTCACTACTATCGTTTCACGCTTTGGATTCGTGATTAATGGAATCTTGGGAGCTAATCATGGCAAGAAACATTTATTTTGTTTAGTAGTGCAGACAACGATCAATCACCTCCGGGAACGTATATTGTCGGGTGAAGTTCAATTTGAATTATCGAACGGAAATTGCACGATCSAAAGGATTCATGGGTTTTGCTAATTGATGGAAAATATGATGAGAAATAACGTGTTCTTACCTATAACCTGGACATAAATGTGTCTTTTACTGATCACCGCTCCGAATAGAGTAGTACGTTCACATTTATAGGTTCCTGTGAAGCCCTGTTTAGCTCTATACACATCTAACACACTTTGCTTGATGCCATTGCTCATTTGATAGTCGTTGGTAGACGTAGTGTAGTCTGAATGCTGCAGCTTCACGCGTCTGYCGAACGTCCACCTTATTGTATCACTTCCTGGTTTGTTTGTTTCACAGGTTAACTTGAAAGAACTCCCAGCAATCACTGTAAGGACGTCCTCATCTGGGTTCATTACAAGTGTTGCCTTGGCTGAAATAGAAAGGAAAAAACTTAAAAAAATGATAGAAAAATAGAAATTTGATGTTTGAAAAAAATTGTAGGATTTAGATGGTCGATCCCGCGCGCATAAGAATCTTTCAGACTGAAATTTGCGCGCCATAGATGATATTCAGCGAGAATTATTTGACATCGATTTCCCGGTCATTCCTTGTTATTWTGCGACACTATGCCTACCGGTCCAAGATTGCGGCAAAAACCGTCACCTCATCTATTCAGCTCAAATAAAGAAACATTGCGCGCTGAATTGTTAAAGATTGGTTCTTCATTGTTTTATATAATTAACTGTTTGCCCTCTTCTATTTTCTTTATAACTATATAGCTTTATAACTAACTAGCATAAACAAATTGTGATAGGCCAACCCATCAATACAAATGCTGTTTTTTTTCCTTATAGACCGAAGATCCCACTTAAGACTGGTTTGCAATCGCTCTTGTTAACACGTGTAGCTTTTAAGATATTGATTCAAATATTCAGTCCGCATCAGGCTGCACGATACTTTTCAATCTTGCAATCTTTTTTTAGCACATTTATCATGTTGTTCAAAAATATGCTTGTTGTTGATTGGCTTATAAGAGTCCAATAATATCTTAATATTACAATTTCAAGTCTCGCTTCGTGTACGTTTTACGGTTGCGTTATCACAGCACGTGCGCTTAGATGCGTTAAGTGAAAACTGCGTTCATTTAAGCGTACAATTCGTAAACAAACAAAAAATGAAGATCACATGTTATATATATTTTTTAATAAAAATATAATGAAGAATGACATAACGAATTGTGAAAACCTGGCGGGAACTACTATTCATAAGAGCTCGGCCTCGTTATAAGGCATAATATAATCAGGTACTAGCTTCATATTCACGCTCACGCTAACATTCAACCAAGTGATAAAGCCCCATAAAGATATCCCATCAAAATGCCTAAAAATTATGTCTCTCGAACGTTCTAAAAGAAAATGTATACTTACAATTGTCTAACACAATGGAAACTTTCTTTGTTATTTTGTTTCCAAGTTTGTCAACAGCTTGACACTGGTACTTGCCAAAATCGTCAGAGAAAGTATCTCTGAAAAGAAATTTACCATTATACACGATGACGTTGGAGCTTGCTACTATTTGYTTTATGTTTCTTGGGGATAAAATTTTCCATAAGGTGACTCTAGCGTCTTGRTCGTCGGTCTGGCAATCGATGTCAGTTATTTCTCCCAACTGGACAGTGTAAGTCGTATCTTTAGCAACTATAAAGTTGAACTTCACTGATGCAGGTTTTGAAGACGATAGAGCTGTGACGGAGAAGACGGTAGACTTTAGATATGTTGAATTGCCTTTTTTATCTACAATTCAATGTTTGCTCAATTACTTACCTAATAAGCATATAAAATAATAAAACGTTGTGGACATGTTTTTCCTTGTTGCTTGTTTACCAGTTGGTCTGGAAAGATAAGTGAATTTCTATTAATGAAAACCTTTCTACAACGTCGACGAGTTTCGGAGCTGTGTACGTCGTAGCTTAGTAGTGGTCGTTTAAAGTTAGTCCTTCAGCCTAGCTGAAACCACGAGTTTCAAATCAACAGACCATTCAATTCGCGTTGGGACGCCACACATGTGAGGCCATATAAACAACGCTAGAAAAGCCGTTGACATTTTGAATTAGTCCCTTGGGGATYAACGTTCTTTACTCCCACGTACGTTCACGCATATTTTTGGCGGGAAAACGGCTCGCGTCATATACCGGAAAATACCGCGAAAAGAAGATAGGTGTTTTTTTGACAAGATAATTTTTACTATACAGTAAAAAAAAGTAAAACGATATTTTTAAAAGTGAAAGGGTGTCTTTTTTATTTCAGGAATAAGACCCGRCAGAAGCAAAAGTTTTAGTTTTTGTTTACATAGCCATAGAAATGCGGTTAGGCTTTAGTAAGCAAGCTGAATCAATTTCTTAAAATATCCAAAATTCTACTGTTTGTAGGGTAAAAAAATGACAGCGAAAACGAAAGAAAGCGAAAACTTCAATCATTTGCAATGTGGGATTTACTGGTTAAATTTTGAATAACTTCTTATATATTATTTATATATTTTAAAAGGATATCTTGGTGATAGATTATAGAAATAATAATAAATAATGAAGTTGCTGAAAAGTGTCTGAAATATTTTTGAATTCTGCCAATTMTTTTGCTTATTTTCCTTTTTTATTTTATTTTTTAATTTATATTTAATTTATATGATATTTCATTTCTTATACCACAGCCCCCACAGCATGCGTYCTGTGACATTTGACGCAGGGTCGAGCTCCAGGCATTACAAYTGGCCACGGCGAGGAGTGTTTGGAATACAGAATACGTAGTTTCCAACAGCAAAGTATCAATATACCATCATCATTAAAAATGGATTYTCAATTCCGGACAATACATTTCTGCAGAATCTCTAGGGATTTACAATTGTAACTTCGCAGGAATTCAAATTATGAAAACAATTGATCAAAAAAGATAAGGTTAGATCGAAACTTGCTCTATTTTCTAGTACTCTTTCGCGTAGAAATCCGATGAACAGTTGGGCCACATTAACTTTACGTATTGTTACATTYAATTCATTCAAAATTCTACGCTTCATAACTTTACAACTTGAGGAGAAYGTCATTGTCATTTAAAAGAGTTTATTACGATAAGTACTCACCTTAATAGCTATGCTACACTAACAATTGGCCACGAAAAGCTCGATGCGAAGTTATTTGATGGTTCACGTTGAGTTAAATTCTTTTCAAAGTCTAAAATGTCTTGACTGAGCKAGCGCGTATATGTAGTTTGCGATTGCTAYTGCATTTGTATTTATAATGACGCGATTTCCGGCTCCTAAAAGCCTTCGAACCACGTGGGCTGTACTCATTTCAACACCTATTTATTACCACACCCATTACTCCTGCGCGCCACTACGACTACAATGRAGAAGCATTTTGACCTTTTAATTACTACTTGTTAACAACTCGAAACAACGCTGAAATCAAACGTTTTTGCAAATTCTTTACATCAGTCACTGTAGAATTTGTTTAGGGTTAAAAAAAGGCGATGTCGATAGTACAGACAAGGTTATTAGTATGATGCCGGAAATAGAATCTGAATCATATGTCTACATAGATTTACCGGAAGCTTCGGTTACGACCCGAACGCGTGACGATTAGTTATTCTCGAACGATGGCGAGGATGTGAAATCCGGGATTTTTTAGGAAAATGAGACTATSCGAGCTATGTGTAAAGGCACGTACGTTATYGGAATCATATCTCTCTCTAATGTGTCGAATATAAATTTAAAATGACCACAGGATATAGGATTTATGCTCACTTTTTAGTGTGGTTTTCTGGTGACTTGAGAACGTTGCATGGGGGCACGTACATTAACATTACTATTTACAATCGCTTCAACTTTGTTTGATGTTACATCTTATCTGCTTTGGCTATTCGATTCAGTTTGTTTTGCTTATTTTCGTGGTTTTGTGACAGACTGATTGGTGCTGATGCTAATAGTTGAATTGGCAGTACCCTACGAGTTGTTGTCCAGTATATGTCTAGTTCTTAGCTTTGTGGTAATGTTCTTTCCTGAGAGCAATGAAAAACAACATAGGAATAATGTGAAGCACTGGACGGGGCCAGAGTCTCGAAAGTATATATCCTCGAAAATCAAAAGAGAAGCGACTGGATTGTTTCGTTTCTTAACAAAAGTTCGATGTGAGCGTCTGCAATTTTGCCATCACTTGCAAGCTAGTGTGTGGGCAATTTRAGGGCAGATTTTGCGAGAATTTAACTGGTATTCATTCAATTGCCCCTCTTCCTTTGAACCACATAGAGATGATAATGATATCGACGTATATGAGTATTTTTTTAAATATTCAATCAGCCACATTCTTGAGATTCTGGTATATTGCATATCGGTCCCCACCCTTTTGAATTAGAGCAGTCAATCGTGACCTGGATTGYAGCGATTCAAGCGATTTCCCATATGGGCTATCGTTGGGTTGATCTACAGKTCCAGTTCATGTAGTTTACATTTTCAAAATCCTTTTGTGATTGCACTCGAGACAATTCTAAGAARATTAGTCGATAAAATCTTGTTTTTTTGATTATCGGTCAGGAAAATAATATTGTAAACCGATGCTTGGTATGTATCAAATAGAGAGACAGACTACACAACTAGTCGTCTACCATTTATCACGGTCAAAGGTTCATGTTTGTGATTCAATAGTGAAAAATGTGCTAAATTTTCTGGAGCACTTTTTGGGTAATCGATTTCATCAGCTCGCCAGTGTTCCTGGTATGCAAGAATGGTTTTCTGACAATCGCCCCCTTCCGCCTCAAGGCTTTTTACCACCTTCCACTCCTCGAACCTAGTGTTTCTCCTTCCGCCTCCTCCGCACTGCCTCAGTCACTATGGGCGTAGTTCGGTTCAAAATTAGTTTTATGAGCACGAAAGTTCTAAAATCATAGTTTGCTTTCCATTTAGATAGTCACCTTGTAGTAATGATAGTAGTTCTTTTAATAACTATCTTACGACATCTAACTATCTATCTAGATAACTATCATCAGTATTCAAATATACTGAGATGACTGAATATCTCTCCTCCCATTTCGCATTGGATATCGATATGACCGTGAAAGGTAAAAATACTATCATTAATTTATGCTGGCAAATAGGCAAAAAATCAATGATAAGCTGTTTAAACTTTGTCGGTAAGATTTTTGCGTGTGGCCGATGCTTAGCATGTGGTGAAATCTCTGTTTACATCGAATGTACAATCAGTGTACAATGTAAACATGGTTTTTATTTTGTTTACAAAGTATTTTTGTGTTTATATAGGATTGGAGTGGCATCGACAAACAAATAGATCACTTTTTCACTGTATCTTCTCTTCTCTTCTCTTCTCTTCTCTTCTCTTCTCTTCTCTTCTCTTCTCTTCTCTTCTCTTCTCTTCTCTTCTCTTCTCTTCTCTTCTCTTCTCTTCTCTTCTCTTCTCTTCTCTTCTCTTCTCTTCC